ACTATGACATGTCAGTTTTTTAACTTTTAGCCATATTATATATGGACTATAAATTTAGTGTTAATTCTCGGCTCCTGAAATCATCTCATGTGTTGAGTCTCGGCCTCTCCCTCCAAATATGCAAAGCCTCAAGTGTGAGTAGCTTATAAGTGCTGGCAGTTTGGTCTATAATCTCTGACTTCAGCTCAGCAGTACCGCGTACCTCCTTATTACCTTCTTACAAGTGTTGCCCAACTGTGGAGGCCCTTTTTCTTTCCCTCAATGATCTTGTTAAAAGTTTGAAACACTATCCTGTCCGACCAATCTCTCGGATATTGATTTTCAATCCCTTGTTTTCGATTGTTTTACAATACCCGGTCAAAATTTTTCTATGTTGAGGGATCGTCCCTTTAATAAAGTTTCTTCTGTACTGCAAAGGTGCGTCACCCTAACTTGGAATAATGCCGGTATCAGTGGGTTTTTGTTACCACTCACATGTGACCTTTTTTCCTGAGTCCACATTGACATTTAAATCCAAAAAGGCCAAAATACCGTTAGTATCAAGTTCTTCTATGGTGAACTACAGGTTTGGACGCAACTTAATGGCAGCCTCAAGGACTACCCCTGGATCGCCCTTGACAGTTCTAACTAGGTCGTCCACATATCTTAGAAAGTCTTCAACGACATTCTCATTCCGATCTGCTAGTTGTTTTTTGCAAGTAATGCAACACCGTGCTGTTTCAGCGATGTCAGTGTATTCGGATTCCGATATGTACCACACCCTAAATGGTAACAATTCAAACAAGCTTCGCATTATACCCCTTTAGTATGATATGTCACCTTTTCTTACATCCAGGGCAGACTTCCTTGTTATCCTCATTTGGCACAGTCAATTTTGGTACGTTTTCTTTAATGCAGGTTCGTATTCGTTGAGCCACAAACTGGCCAGTATTGGACGCAACTTAATGGCAGCCTCGAGGAAAATAAATGGCAGCTTCTCTTAATGGCAGCCTCTAATTGTTGTGATAAATTTATTAAAAAGCATAAATAGTCTTTCTTTGTTCAAATTTACCGCTTGTGTGTTTTTATATCATATGCGCGCTAGGCTTTCCCTTCTGGTTATCTTACCAAATCTCGCCGTCCCAGCCGTAGGCGAGTGAAGTTTCCCTGGCGTAACTGGACCCAAGAAGGAGTGAGCTGGTGAATCGACCTCCAAATCGACGTCAGGTTGTACCACTCCTTTGTTTTTCTCATAGCCATTGCCTAAGCAATTTTAAACCCTAAGTGAAAGTGTTCATAAATCACCCCAAAGATCTTCCTTTCTCGCCCCAGTTGTCTGTGTTTCAGGCAGATGCCGCGATTCCAGGTAAGACGCATCCCTGAGTTCTCACAGAAACTAGTCATCGGGAAATCAAGGACCAAAAATATCAAACCAGCTCTAGTAAAATCAACAATTCACTCCTACCGCGGCGCAACGCTTCATGATCTGTTTGAAACAGTTTTGCAAAACAGACCAAAGCGCAATACAGTAACAATAGTTGCTGGATACAATGACAACAGGCTGCATCCACAGGAATTAGAACAGCAGTGGAAAAATTTGATTAACCTCGTCACTAACAAGTTTAAGCCCAAGACACTGATCATTCCCAAAACAATTCAGAACTTTAACACTTCCGAAGTAAACCGCAAAATTATTTTCATAATCATGTGCTGTTTAATTTGATAAATAGATTTGTACACCCCCATACACTTATTTTTTCAACTAACCTCAACCTATATCTAACCCCTCAAATATACACCGAAGTGGTCCACTGGAAACCGGTCTTTATGATCTTGTCAAAAAAAAAGTTGGTTATAAATTCAATGAAACTCTTAATAGAACTTTGAACAGCCTAATATAAAACAACGAAAATGCTTCCGCAATGCACGCAGCAATGATTTTTCCACACTTATTACTGCGCAAAACAAAGTCCAAAATTGATGGATCTGTACGCAAAACAATAGCAAGGCGACTTAAGCAATGGCAAGACGGAGACCTGGATGGACTATATAACGAAGGACATGCGCTGCAAGTGCGCTTGTTGAAAGGAAGTAGAAGAAAAACTGAAACTGAAGCACAACATTTCAACAAACTAATGAATACTGGAAAAATAACAAGCGCAATTACAAAACTAACAGACACATCTAATGGCGATCTTTCGCTCGACGAGATTGTCAAAGGTAAGACAGTAGAACATACTCTCATAGAGAAACACCCACCATCTAAATCAATTGATGAGAACTATATTACACCAGTCTCAAACGATAAACACATTCCTTTCCATACATCGATATTTGATCAGATAAACGATCAACATATCAAGAAGGCAGCCATGAGAACGCACGGATCGCATGGACCATTTGGCCTCGATGCAAATGAATGGAGACGTATTTTAACACACTTCGGGCAACAATCAGTTGAGATTTCAAAAAAAAAATTGCTAAAATTGCCAAAACAAATTGGCCACCCAAGATCTAAATCCAGAACTAATGGAACCATATAACGCATGCAGGTTAATACCCTTAGATAAGAAACCAGGGGTAAGACCCATAGGCAAAGGAGAAGTTATGCATAGGATAATAGGGCGAACAATAACCAAATGCCTAAAAAACGAAGTCATGTCGCTCGGTTCGAACTAACAACTCTACCTCTGAAATGTGGCATTGAATATGCGATCCACACGGTAAGAGATCAATACAGCGAAACTTCTGCCGATGCTATTTTACTGTTAGATGCCGAAAACGCTTTTAACTCGCTGAACCGAAAGCTGGCATTGAAAAACATCGAAAATACCAGCACTTCTCTTTTAGCAGCAAATAAGAACTCCTACTCCAATCCATCTATACTGTTCGTTAACAAAAAAACAATCTATTCTCAAGAAGGGACAACCCAGGGGGATCCACTAGCAATGGCCATGTACGATCTAGCCATAATACCTCTCATAAAACTTTTATCAGTAGACGATGTAACCCAGAAATGATACGCAGACGACGGAAACGCAGTCGGTAAATTCAGCAATCTACGAACCGTCCTCGATAAAATTGTATCACTGGGTAAATTTTTTGTCTACCAGGTGAAAGCATCCAAATGCCAACTCATTGTCAAGGATGAAAAACTCGGTTAGCTCAGAAAATCTTCGCAAATACAGGAATCATTATAAAGGGAGGAGCCCGAGTGCTTGGTTCAGTTATAGAAAAAGAATCTAAATGTAAAAAGTTCCTCGAATTTCAACAGAATGAGCAAATCAAAATTTTGAAAAAACTAACGAAAATCGCTAAAACCTCCCCTCAAAACGTTTATGCCTGCTATACTCAAGGATTTCAAAAAAAAGCTTTTATTTCTTGCCAGGACAACGCCTAACACTATGGAAAACTTAGAAAAATGTGAAAATATTATCAAAGAACAGTTATTACCTAACCTAGTCGGTAAAGACACTTTAAACCCCCAATTCCGTGAGATATCTTCCTTACCCCTTAAAATGGGTGGACTTAACATCAAGCTGCCATCCGATCATGAAAGCTACCTAGAATGGTCTAAGGAAACATCATTAGTACTGGAATCTCAAGATCCTATTACAGCAGTAATTCAGCTAGAAAAATTATTTACGAATAAACGAATTTACGAATTTAGAAAACTGATATAGCAAATCGAAAAAAAAACAAATCTCATGAACTCCTTAAATGAAACAGATAAATACGCAATCGACCTGGCCTCTGGAAAGGGAGCCTCTAAATGGCTCAATGCTTTACCACTGAGCTGATACAACTTCAACTGAATAAATCAGAATTCAGAGATGGTATATACTTAAGATACGGATGGGAACCAACCAAAATGTGCATGTGGTGCTAATTTTAACTTGAGACATGCGCTTAACTGTGCAAAGGGTGGTTACACACAAATAAGACAAAATGAAATTAGAGACACATTCGCCAACCTCATGAACGAGCCGCTTCAGCCGTTGCAAGGTGAAAGCTTTGTCAACAATTCAACTACAACTGAAGATGAGGCACGACTTGACATTAAGGCAAACGGACTCTGGGGTTCACGATTCAGCTGCGCTTTCTTTGATGTGAAAAATTTTCAACCCCCATGCCAAAACATCGCGAAAACTGGATAAGGATGCGTACAAATACCACGAAACGCTAAAGAACTCTAAATAACAGCAAAGAATTTTAAACGTAGAGCAGAGTAGCTTCTGCCCGCTAATTTTTGGATGCACTGGTGGCGCTGCTCTAACAGCCACGCGGACGATGCAGCCATTAGCCGAAAAACTAAGTGAAAAAAGACAAGAAAGCTATCCAGAATCTATAAACTACTTAAGAACGAAAATAAGCTTCGCGCTCCTGAGGAGCTCTATACGTTGTATAAGGGGGTGCAGATCGCTACGCAAAGTTCAATTTATCGACAATTCCATAAGCGCTATTGTAGAGGAAGGACGGCTAAGATAAATTAAACTTACGATGCATTTAATGCTAATTTATGACTTCATTGCTGATATATATGCATTTTTATATCGACGGTATGGCCCTATCCAGCTTGTCCACTTACCGTAACTAAACGGAAGGGCCCCTTTTGTAATTTAGTTTTTTTTATAACTGGCCAATTTTGCTGCAAGGGAGGTGCCCCGTGTTAAACCATCTTTTTGCACATACAAACAAACCACAGCATTTAAAGTGTACCTTACTGACTGCCAAATTCAGTAGTTTTTTCATAGTCTTGTGAGATGTTTCCCTAGGGTTGAATTGCTCATATGGTCCCCCTAAGGGCTATTTCAACAGCTTCCTTGAGCGGGACATTAGTGTACAAACTCTTTACATCAAGGGATATTATATTTATCACAACAATTAGGCTAAAAAGATTATTACAACAATTAGGCTAAAAAATAATGTATTACGTGAAAGAATGGAAAGTTAGTCGGGTGGTTGCGAATCATTATCGAAATACGATGTGTTAAGAATCATGTTCATTTTGTTTCAGTTAATATTCTGGTATTGGTTTAGCATAAACATCAATGGATAGTCCTCTTCGGGACAAACTTTTTCTTGGCCGGCAATGGGCTTTTGAGCGTTTGTTAGATCATTTAGAAAGTCAACCTGTGGAAAGTGTGCGTCGAAGTTCGACTTCCTCCAACAGCAAAAAGCCCGTAGTTTTTATTTTGGGTGGATCGGGCTCCGGTAAAACAGCTTTGCTCACCGAAATATGCTTCAGCAAAGGACAAGACTCGTACGCTCAGAGGCAATATCAACTAAGAAAACGAACACTTGCTTACCACTTCTGTACATCTCAAACCAAAAAGAGTTTAACGGTGAGTGATTTCCTCGATAATATTGCTGTTCAGCTCTCGAAAAGCCCTTTTCTCTCCAAATTATCGCATGGAGAAACAAAATTTATCCGTCCATCTGAAGTAGAGCCGGCTCAATTACTTTATGACCCGGACTTGGTGTTCCGAGAAATGATTTTGAAAAAAATTTGTGAAGTTAACAAAAGTAGTAACCGTCATCTTTACCTTGTTGTCGATGGGCTAGACGAATGTTACGAAAAGCAGTTAGAAATTGGTCAGCAGTCTTCCGGAAGTAGAACAATAGCAGAACTTTTAGCTGCGCACGTAGACCAGCTACCACCTTGGCTCCACATTCTGACATCATCCCGCAGATGTAGCAAATCTGTTGTGAAGATGTTTGCAACCAATAAAAAAATTCCAATTGACGATCATAAGAAAGATCAAATTATCAACGACTTCAAATTATACATGCGAGCCTGTTTGCTAAATGATGTTCAAGTTATTGACGAGCATAAGCAAAAAGACTTCCAAGTCGTTTTCGAAGTACTGCATGAAAAAAGTAGTGGTTGCTTTTTGTACCTAGAACTGGTAATCCAAGCTTTAGCGCAGTGTATTATATCAACTAAAGAAATCAGAAACATTCCTAACACTCTGAACGGGCTATACAGTTTTCTGTTCATGAGATATTACCGAAGTCAATATGCAGTCCACGCCAACACCGAAGACCTTGATCTGGCTACGATGAAACAGATTCTGTCCGTTTTGGTTGCGTCACAAATTCCCATGAGTCGCTTTGACATTCTGGACGCCTTAGTGACACGGGACTGTAGCAAACCGTATAATCCAAATCACCTGGAGTGGCAGATCAGGAGTCTGGGATTCTTCCTCTGGAAAGACGACGGTGTCGGATATGATGAACAGTGCATCCAATTGATGCATCATTCTTTTACTTGTAAGTTGAATTTACTGAATGTAAGTTGAATTCACGAGGACGTCGATGAACGCTAAACTTTAAATACAACTCATAAATGTTTGGTGTTTTAGCTTGGATTACAGATGTTAAGTTGTGCGGAAAAGAATTAGCTATTGATATAGGCGAAGGTCATGCCATGTTGGCTTTGAGTGCAGCGTGCTTCTACGATTTGAACCGAGTCACTTCTCACGACATCAGTGAAATAGTTTACAATTTATCAAGATCGACTCCTGAGTTTTCGTCGACAATGGAGGTAGAGCTAATGGCTCTCTGGGTGCTATGGATCGGTTTGGATGCCGAAAAGTTCAATTTTCATGCCACTGCCGAGAGAGACTCTGTGACTGATCGAATATTTGCTTTAGCGTCTGATCAATACGATTCGGTTAGTGTAGACAAGCGACATGATTTTTCGCAGTTTGACATAATTTTTACGGTCTTCTCATTTCCTTTGATAATTAAAGGCAAACTCCGCTATCAACAGCAAAAGTTAAAAGGTCGCGAAAAACGTGAATGACTTCTAGATTCAACAAATGGACTAAAATTTTCTGAATTCCCAGCGGACTGAAAGAAATTATCTATTGATCCATTGTTCTTGAAATGGAATAACCTAACAAAAAAAGTGTCTAGTATAAACAGTATTTGAAATTCAAAGAGCTTCAAATTGTTTTTTTTTCTTCAAAAATGTATTTTTTTATTCAAAAATGAAGTCTTCTAAAATTTTCAATCAACTTTTTTGCGGTTTCCTTATTTTTTCACACTTTTCCAAATGCCTGTTGCCTATATGTAAGTATCAATAAAAGTATCAATTTTTAAAATTGTCGTTTCACTTGGCATATGCTTGAGAAATCCCTATGTTGTTAAAATGACCAAATTTTGCAATGTTTTTATTTCAGTGTTTATATTACGAAATCTAAAGTTAGTGTCACTGTTATAGAGTACTGTCAAGGTTCTAGGAATTGCGAGTCTGTCTCCCAAACTTGGTTGCTCAAACTTTTTAAGTTTACGCGAAATGACGCTATTTAAATTACTTTTTTTAGTTGCAGAAATGAATTTTTTTTTGGAAAATTCAGAAATCTATGTTATGCTGATTGCAAGGTACTTCCTGGGGTTGCCAGTACGGCTTCAAAATAAAGCTGATCAGATAAAGATAACTTTTTCCGAGATATGATGATTTTTTTATTAAGTTTTCTAATTTGTTTTTTTAATTCTTTTTTATTGCGTTCGTTGAGTCTTTTCCAACTGTTTGTTGGCTATGTTTCTGTTTTGTAATGAAAAAAGTAGGGGATCCTATAATTTGAATTTGTTGTTAAGTCTATTAATTGATAGAATAGAAAACGCCGGTGGATGCACCCAGCATAAATTTCAGTTGTTTTCAATCTCGTTCTTTTTTTTGATAACGAACTTTAGTGAGCTTAGTTTAATAGTTGCAAGTATTGTGCCATTTTTGGTGGCACTTACGGTTTTTCGATAGCCCGGTAATTGAAATTCGAATAGAAATAAATTAACGCAGTTGATGCATTTTTACTGCATCAATTGAACCGAAAAAAGCGATTTGTTTCAAAGAACATAACAATAGTAACAACTCGATTTCAGAAATTTTTGAACTAAAAATTTCTCGCAATTTTTTGAAACGCATAAGCTATACATAGTGTGGCTTTATGTCAAATTCTTCCAATTTATTACATGCAAAGTCAGTGTGGATTCTTTCAGTTCGTTATATTCCAAATTATTACATGTGTCTGTGTACAAATTAAGTCTATTTGTGTTTGTTGGCACTTCTGCAGCATCGCATTGGCAATTTATAAACATATGTAGCTGCTTTATTTGTGACTAGTATTTGCAGAAATTTAACGGTTCGTGGCCGGGAGTACAGCGCGTGAGATTACTAACCTCCAGGTTGCAGGTTCGTATCCGATATGCAGCAAAGTTATACTAGTTCGCGGCTTATTTTTTTCACTTCTTAAAGCTTTGTCGTGTTTCGCTAGTGTTTGCGAAGCGCAGCTTCGACTCTGTATATCTTTGAAAAGCATTTTTTGCGTTCAATAACGTGTTTTAATGCAATGGCGTTAAGTAAGATTATTCGAAGGCTTTCTATTGGAAATTCGTTTACTTTCGAGTATTTTTTGTCTGAGTTAAAATTAATTTTCGTTCTGGTTTTTTTTGGTGTTGGCTCAAAATCTAGCAGAACAGTTGGCTTAAAAAACTTGCTGGCTTATGTGCTACTAATCGTCGAGCAATGTTTAAGCTGCATAATTTAAATACCAGCAGCAGAAAACTACCTTTCTTGAAATTTTATAATTAATTTACATTTAAACGTGCGATTTTTCGAAAAGTTGTTGCCTTTAAGTAAACAAATTATTGATTTTAAACAATAATTGATTCAATTGATATTATTGATTTTCGCAATAAATTGTGTTCTTGATTTGTTTCAGTAAATTACACTAAATTTTTATTTCTCTAATTTAGTTGCAGCAAGCTTGACGAGAGTTTATAGAATCAATTGTGCACGTTTGGTCTGTGTATTTCTTGGATTAAATCAGATTTGATTAAGCAAGAATTTGGGCTTAAAGCGTCGAAGCTTTCTCAATTTTTTTAAAGAAAATTTTTGGCTGAATTTTTTGAAGCCTCATTTTCATATAGAAAAAATATTATGATTTTAAAGCTGAAAATATTTTTACAGGTTAAAACTTTGGTAATTAATTGTAGACCAAAAAAAAACAGAAAAAAAATGAAAAACGTTTTTTATTGCTTTAAGTTTTTTGGTTGCAATCTCATGCCTTAATTTCATCAAAAATTTTGATAATTTAAATTTTGTTGTGCTTATTTTTTATCGATTAAGCAGTTTTCTGACGATTCCTTTTATGCATAGCAAATCTTAATGTAATTGTGTTGTTTGTGTTTACCTTCTGAAACTTTAATTTTATCTTCGTTCTTTTAGTTTTCTCGGTTTTTTGATGCATCAAAATCTTTACACCTTGATTTGAAGAGGGCTTGAGCAGCCTTCCTTGTGGGTTTTTGAATACTGGGAACAAAAAAAAACAACCTATAACAAAAGGAACAGAGATCTCTTCGAAGTTGTTGGCTATCTTTCTCTATCGAAATTCTTTTCCTCGTGGAGAAGCATAGAGATATTCACTGGTATCGTTTTTCAGTATCTCAAGTGATGCGAACTTTTGCTTCCCTCTGTGGTTAACTGATCTGGATTTAAAGGTTTCCTTGGTGTCCTTTTCGTCTAAAACGTGAAAAGAAAAATCCGTGAAGCATGTAGGTCATTTAATATCCCTTAGAGGTTTCGTTTTGACAGCAGAGATAACTTACGGATAATTTTTATTTCACATTAGTAGAAATAAACACCGCTCCCTTTCTAAACAGGCGCTTAACCGGCTACTATCTAGACTTGGGTGACGTTTGTACTATTTGAAATATAACAAGTATTACTTTGTTGTTTAAGCGACCTACTTGAAACAATCGTTTGCTTTAGTTCTATCAAATTCATTCAGATCAAGATATTTAAACCCCATGTGAATTTTGCGCTAATCTGTTTTTGTTAGTCTAATGTTGTCTCTTGTGCAGATCCAAGACGGAGATTCGGTCAGCAATGAGCAAGTGGCTGTTCTCAGTTCGAGGATCAGTCTACAAGAGGTACTTGAGGTCGATCATCACGGCCAAACGTTACTCATGCGCCATCTAGCGGCAGGCGGTGGTAATACGCGGAAACTGATCGAAATCGGAAGTAATATCAACCATGAGGATATGTCAGGCTGGAGTCCACTGATAGTAGCTTGCAAGTGTGGAAGTTACGAACCAATTGAGGTTTTATTGAAATCAGGCGCCGAGATTAACCACAGGGATTACGAAGGCTGGACGGCGTTGCGATCGGCTGTCTGGGAAGGCTTCTTCGACGTCGTATGTCTGTTACTATCCACAGGAGCACACGTTGATTTGGAGGACAATGATCAAAGGACTCCTCTGAGAGCGGCCGCTTGGAGGGGCTTCGAGGACATAGCCCGAGTGTTGGTCCAGTATGGTGCTAATGTGAACCAGACGGATAGGTTCGGCCAGACGCCCTTGAATGCCGCTGCTTACATGGGCAACTGTGCTATTGTGGAGTTGCTGCTCTCAAGTGGAGCTAGAGTTGATCAGACGGACCAAGACGGCAGGACAGCACTCACTATTGCGTGTCTATACGATCAGCACGAAGTTGTAAGTGAAGTGGATCTATGAAATGTTGAGATTCTGTTCTGGTCTGTTCTTATAGGTAATTTCATGTTGTGTTAAGCATCTGTAGCTATGCTCGAGATATATGTATAAAAGTTTTTCATTAAAAGATATATGTAACAAATCAGGTGCGGATTTGGGGGGGGGGGGCAGACGCCCCCCCCCCCCCCCTCAGGGATTCGACCCCCTGCCGACCCAAAGGGTCCTCCCTTTGATACTTTTAAGAAATCCAGTTTTGGCCGACCAACCTTAAAGTTTTTCTAAAATTATAAAAACTTTGGGTTTATTTGCGTTTTTTTTTAATTTCTTTTTTGTAAACAGTGGGTGATTTTAGAAAATGAATCAGTTTATCCAATAAAAGACACGGTTAACAATTTTTGTTGATTTATTTTTATCTATTAATTATAATTGTATGTGCTAAATTATCCAGGATATACACTAATTAGGCATGGGATATGTCTTTCGTCTGTCCCCTCCACGGCCAAATTGTTATCATTGTTGATGCTTATTGATTAAAAATTGGTTTGAGTTTGGAGAAAAAAATGTTTTCAGGCAAAGAGACTTCTTGAGGCGGGTGCGGATGTGAACCACCAGGACAAAGAGAGAATTTCACCTCTAACAGCTGCTGCCTATAAAGGAAACGTCGAGGTTAGTAACAGAACTAGGGCAAATGAAGGGATCTCTAACTATATCCCCCCTCGGTACCTAGTAACGAATATCCCCTATAAAGAAATAAAACAGCGGTTAAGTACATGAGAGTATATCCCCCTTTTGCAAAAAGGGATAAATTAGAAATCCCAAATGAAATTGTATTTAAGCCGTTAGCCCGCTGATATGCTACAATAGGTGGTAATTTTGAGTATAGTTTGTATTAAATTTGAAAACTATAATGCATAATATAGTCATTTCACTTTCACTCAATTGTACATGGTACTAAGATAGTTTTTGTGAATAAATGACTCTGCCGAATTTAATTTCTGTTCGTTTTCAAAAAAAAAGCCGAATTTAATTTCTGTTCGTTTTCAAAAATAAATGACTCTGCCGAATTTAATTTCTGTTCGTTTTCAAAAAAATTCGTTTTAATTTGCAAAATAATTTGGCCTTGAAATGAACTATAAATAGTGTTCGAAGTACAACAAGCAACGATCCAGCTATTTATAGTGTTCGAAGTGAATAAATGACTCTGCCGAATTTAATTTCTGTTCGTTTTCAAAAAAAAAGCCGAATTTAACTTCAGTTCGTTTTCAAAAATAAATGACTCTGCCGAATTTAATTTCTGTTCGTTTTCAAAAAAATTTCGTTTTAATTTGCAAAATAATTTGGCCTTGAAATGAACTATAAATAGTGTTCGAAGTACAACAAGCAACGATCCAGCTATTTATAGTGTTCGAAGTGAATAAATGACTCTGCCGAATTTAATTTCTGTTCGTTTTCAAAAAAAAAGCCGAATTTAACTTCAGTTCGTTTTCAAAAATAAATGACTCTGCCGAATTTAATTTCTGTTCGTTTTCAAAAAAATTTCGTTTTAATTTGCAAAATAATTTGGCCTTGAAATGAACTATAAATAGTGTTCGAAGTACAACAAGCAACGATCCAGCTATTTATTTTGAACCTTGCCACCTATTGTAATATATCACCGTTAGCTCGGCAGATTGTGAAAAGGGAATGCAAATTGTCGTTTAAAAAGCATGAGATGGTATTACTTGCATGCATTAAGCAAAGATGGGAAGACCATAATCGCACCCACTCATACTAGACTACTCACATTACATTCATCTCACACCATATCCATCCCCAATCTAAGATGCTTCCTTTCTTGGTAACTACAAAATTGTCCGCAACGATTGGAACAAGGAAAGTGGAGTATGCCGCTTTGCAATAGCCAACGATATCCCTTACCAACTTGCTCTCCCAATTCCTATGAAATCTCAGACTATAAGCATCATCATTAATGATGAAAAAATCTCCACGGCGAATTTCTACATACCGCCGTGGCTACCAAGAATCTATAAATCACCTCCTAGTTGACTCATACGGACAAGTACTCGATTACGCCAACGCTCGCAGTTCCTCGAATTCTAAAAATCACCAAGACGATAGAGGAATACTGATATCGGACAAGTTTGCGAGCTCCACCTATCCCTCTCAACTCTCACTTATACCTCTCAACTTGGAAGAAGACACCCGCTCGCGGACTACACAACAAACCTGGTCCCCTAAAATCTCACCTGCATCCCAGACTATCGCCCTATCCTGCCATTAGACACCACAAACTATTCTAAGCTCAGTAGACTCTAGCCCTCCCAGCCGACTTGCCCTCAACAAAACCTTCATAAACCTCAAGAAAGCTGATTGGGATAACATCGCTACTGAACTAGATGAGTTGCTCTCTAAAGTGTTTCCATCGATTCGGAAAACAGTAAACATACTTTCCCCCGTCAAACAACCGAAAGACCTCTTCCTCTCTCTCCGCTTACCCGTCTCGTTTTCTATTCACTATCTTGTATGGCAATGGTTTTGTTGTATCTGAAGTGTTGTAAAGCTCCGCTTTGCCTTTGTATCTATTCTACGAATAAAGCCTTTCAAGAAGATGCGGATTGGGGGGCTTCCAATTGGAGATATGACCACTCATTCATTTTCGGGCGACCGACACTTGAAATTTTCTAGAGGTTTCTTCGGCCTCAATATGTAGTTGGTCAAAACAAAACTTTCCAAAAGTTCTCTAAATCAGTTTTTAATTTGTTTACTTTTTAAAGTGCCTGCTGAGTAGAAAATTCTAGCTAAATGGCTTCTAAGTATTTTTGGAGAGATAGGACTGAATAGCAGTTTAGTCAACCTTAAAAAAGGTCGACAAACTTTTCGAAACGTTTTCGAAAAAGCCCCTCCTCGATCGAAAAAATCCTAGATCATCACCTTCTTTCGAGTCTTAACCCTTTTTCATTCTGTCTAACCTGTTTTTATTTGCTGTATAATATAATTACTGCCGGTATTCTTCTGTCAAATTTCTCTGGTTTTCTCGTTTTAGACTGCAAAGCTACTGCTCAAATTCCCAGCCATTCAGGATTGTGGTCTGAATGTGGAGCTAGTAGACAATGGAGGGAGGACTGCTCTTTTGGCTGCCGCTTCTCAAGGACACCTCGAGCTAGTCAGGCTGCTGATAGTGGAAGGCGGCGCAAACTGCACTGTGACCGATCCAGGTAATTACCCTTGCGATAAGCAAGTGTATTGCAATCGGTTCCCAGAGTTTTTTTTCTGTTAACAACTTTGTGCACAAGGTCTTTTCTTCTAGAGAATCACTTCTGGAGGATCTTTCATCTGACGTGCTGAATTTTTTGAAAATTCAAATAAAATTAGTATCACTTAGCAAGTAGATAGTTCAAGACCGTTTCAGGTTGTATTTATCTTTTCAAAAAAGTGTCTCTATTTTTTTTTCAGGTTCCTGGTATTCATCCTAGCTTCTGTCGGTTCTTCTTCCCTTTTTTAAGCGCCATTTTTTATCTGGTAAGGTTTTTATTGATTTACTTTTTAAAGAATGGTTTTGTTCCAATTTAAGCAGTTTTTACTATATCTGAAATTTCACAAATTTGTAAATTTACCGTGTCTGATTTTTTCTTCATTTTTCGTTTTTTTTTTAATATTCAACAGTTTCAGAGTACGTTATATCAACTTAGTCAACTTGATTTTGCGTAACTTCGAGGGCAAAATATATCAGTTTGGGATTAAGTGTTTTAGTTTGGATGGGTCGTAAAAACTTAAATCTAATGAAAGTTTTTATGGCAACAGTTTTGTTTTCGGCTCAACAGGTTTAGACCCAAAATTTGTCGCCTTTGATGCCGCTCGATAAATTATTTCCATTTTTAAGGGCTGCTTATGAACTTCATCAGATACAAATTTGAAGTTTTTGTAGCTGTAATTTTCCAACTTTTGTCAAGTTATTTTTTCAAATAGTTTTTTTTGATATAAATGTTCATTTTTTTTGGCTTCTGTGTTTTTTTGTTCTCTATTTTGTAACGCATTGTATTTTTGGCATCGCAAGTGTTGCGAAGGTCCGCCTCGACTGTGTAGTAATAACAATACGGATAGACCGTTGCTGTGCAATTAGAGCAGAATGTTCCGACCTCTGATTGAAATTTCCAAAAAAGTTGCCTTCAACCTCCCCCCCCCCCCCCCCCCACCCCCTCAAGAGTAGCAGTGCAACCAAAAAATCAGTTTTTTGGTCAGAAGATGGTCAGAAACGGCTTGGACACTCCTCTTACTACTACTACTACTATTAATTTCCGGAATCGAACCGAACCTAGGCTCCAGCCATTAATAATGCAAACCATATAATGGTCCGATCCGATGCTCTCACTACAGCGTTTATTGTAACTGCTGCGGCTGGATCCATTTGAAATACAGCAGACTTAAACCAAATAACCAACACCACAAACACTTGGGTAGTAGTTTGTGGTAAAAGTTTTGACAGTAGAAGTGTTTGTGGTGTTGGTTATTTGAGTTAAGGCTGCTGTATTTCACCTACGCACCTTTCACTCTACACCCAACAACATTTTTTCGATTCATGGCCCACTCACGAACCCACTGATACTAGACTACGCACATTACACTCATCTCACACCATATCCCTCCCAATCTAAGTACCAAAAACCCCCGTCCAAAAGATCACCAACCTCCCCCCAAGAACTCTATTGCCCCGAACGCTTGTAACTTCTCGAATTACCCCGAAAAACTGCCCAGGTAATTCTATCATCCCTCGTGATTCCTCTAACAGACTTCGTTTTTTTGCACAGGAACTGCCACGGTCGGCGGTTAGGCACCTGAGCTCGCCCTCTATCTAGAAACAAACAAGATCCACTTTGCTGCTCTGCAAGAAACCCAGCTTCATTGCAACAGCAATCCTTCCTTTCTTGTTAACTACAAAATTGCCCGCAACGATCCGGATGAGAAAAGTGGAGGATGCCGCTTTGCAATAGCCAACGATATCCCTTACGAACTCGCTCTCCAAATTTCCATGAAATCCCAGACTATAAGCAGCATCACTAATGATGAAAAAATTTTCCATGACGAACTTTTACATACCGCGCCGATCCTCCTAGGCTACCAAGCCCCTAAGGCTACCGAGAATCTATAAACCGCCTCTTAGTTGACTCATACGGACAAGTACTCGGTTACGCCAACGCTCGCAGCTCCCTCGAGTTCTAAAAATCCCGAAGACGATAGAGGACTACTGATATCGGACAAGTTTGCGAGCTCCACCTATCCCTCTCAACTCTCACTTAAACCTCTCAATTTGGAAGAAGACACCCGCTCGCGGACTACACAACAAACCTGGTCCCCTAAAATCTCACCTGCATCCCAGACTATCGCCCTATCCTGCCATTAGACACCACAAACTATTCTAAGCTCAGTAGACTCTAGCCCTCCCAGCCGACTTGCCCTCAACAAAACCTTCATAAACCTCAAGAAAGCTAATTGGGATATCATCGCTACTGAACTAGATGAGTTGCTCTCTAAAGTGTTTCCATCGATTCGGAAAACAGTTAACATACTTCCCCGTCAAACACCCAAAAGATCTCTTCCTCTCTCTCCGCTTACCCAGACTCTATGTACTTCTTCGGCAGTCTCAAGTTAGAAATCTCACCTACAAATGCTCAGTAACTTTATTCTCACCTGACTCAAAAGACTACAAAACTCACCCTCAAGTCAACAACCAAAACACTCTGCTCCCACTGGACAGCCCTAAAATCTTAGAGCTCGACTATAAAATTTTCACTACACTGGAAGACTCAAGTTAGCAAAGACAAGAAGCGTAGCTCACTCCCGGACGCGCTAGCCGTCACCAACTAGGTGCAAAGTAAGAAAAACGTTCCTAATTACGCACGATGCTATGATTAGACCAGTCCTAGAAGAGGCTGCCTCAACGTGGTCACACGCTTAACCTCAATTCAAGTACTACAAACTACAAAACGCCGCCCTGCGCAATCTAGTTGGGTGCAGTTAAATGACAAAAAGCGAGAACCTACATACTGAGTGCTTCATCCTTTTAACCACCCTCATGAAACTACTTCCTCCCAATGCTATACAAGTTGCCATCTATACAGTGACCCCGGAAGATTAATACTCGATACTACTAACACCCCGGACAATTATAACCCTCTTTCAAAAGCCACAATGCGGGTCACCTGACTGACTTAATCGACTCCAACGAGTAAATCGACAAGAAAACCGAAATCCATAACTTCAAATTACTCCACACACGAGCTGCTTCCAACTACAACGAAACTGTCCTCATACTCAAAATACTCACCAAAAGCTCCACTCATCTCCCCAACTGAACTATCACTGAGTCGCAAGGCCTGGTCTAGCGTAGCTCAACTACGCTCCGGCTACTCCCCTCTACTTAAATCCTGCCTCAAGAATTTTGACCCAAGTGTCACCTACGGATGTCCAAAATGCTTCAACACTCCACACAATGCCAACCCCTTCTTTCATCGTCTCGAAAATCCCACTATAAACTACTCTCTCACTCTGGTGCAATCTTGTCGAGGCTTCTACCTTCCTCAGGTTGGATTAGCTTTCAAGCACATCAGTCGATCTCGCTCCTGATGACCAGCGTCGACTCAACATTGGTCCATAGCTTGGGCTATGAAACCAAAACCGTTCCTCTGTCATGTTCCACAGACACGATTTAGACGAAATTAGAAACCACAACCGTAGCTTTGTTATCCTTTACCCGTTTGACGGATTGGTGATTCACCGAAATGAGCGCCGCAACCAGAATCACTTCACTTCTCAGTTACTGGAATCGGGAGCCTCCTTCTACCCAGAGGCACCTCGGTGGGGGCAGCAGTGAGAGAATTGGACGAGACCTTGCAAACAACAACCTTTCACGGGAAATTCTGAAAACAAAACAAAACAAACTAAGAAATCAACTTTCTCTGAAGGAGTACTGAACTAACGCACTAATCATTATAAACCAAAACAATGACCATCTTAAACAAATTCTGACCAAAATGGCGAAACTTAATGCGCTGTCCTTCGACGTGGCAGCTACAACAACAACCTCTGATTGAAGTACATAAATTGAAAATACAGAAAAATGTTTTGAACAAATTGTATTTTCACCTTAAATTTACAGTTTTTTTTTCAGTTACAGGCAATTGGATTATATACAAATTGCATAAATGAGATACCATACTAGGTAACAGTTTCTCTATGTGTTATTTGTAAGCTTTGTGTTAATTAGTCCTAGAAACGACGAGTTCGGACCAATTTTTCTCTGGACAGAGAAATTTTCAACTCCACATAGGAGTCCGAATTACGATAATTAGGGCTTTAATGGATACCTCACTCGACCCCTTGGGAGCTTTCGCTGAGGTGGTCGAAAGCGGGAAAAAAGCGCACTCTAAGCCTTTGTTAGTTCCTTCACTTCGTGAAGTGGTCGGAACATAAATAATTTTCAGACTTGTAAGTGAGTTGATGTTTACTTTACAACTAACTTCCAGGCCTGAAAGAGCGTCATTAGAATATATATGACGTTTTCAAGCAAGGGTTAAGTTTAAGTTGGTTTTTGCTGATTACTATTATGGTATCAGAGTCTAAATACGCTGCCACTCTTCTCTTAGGGCTATGGTGGATATTTTTTTAATGCTAAATACTTGAACGTTTAAGTTTTGGATTAGCTCTTTAGAGAGGGAGAGATCTAATGCTAGGTGCGATGGAAGGAAGTTGGGTTGTTAACTTAAACCAAATTTTAAAAGGAGTTTACGCGGTTTTCTGGGGCTTTTTCCTTTGTTTCTTCAGGAAAACAAGACGTTATACTTGATGAAAGCATTTTCTCGGTAATGCCAGTTTTTGAAAAGTCGATTCTGGAGATTTTTCTGACCAGGTCATTAGCATAAGATCGTATGCAAGCATGCGTTAAACCATTTCATCCGCTGCGGCTGACAATTGAAATCAATATTGTTTGTTTTCAAGTTCAAATCAGACGGCTAATGGGGATTTTAAAGCTCTTTCGTTAATCAATGCAGGCATTTTTAATCATTCAGCATACTTTTGCAAATGTGAGTGAATTTCAGTCTGTGATCTAAACGGCTTGTCTTTCTGTCATCGCCTTGCCGCCTTGAGTCTGCCATCGCCTGCCTACCAACCGGTCCCTAATGCATTCTATTTAGCAACATCCTCTCTTGAAGTATGCGTTACTATCGTTTGATGCTGAATGCCTGTGGTTCAGTTATCGAAAAATCCTCATTGAACGTCTAAACAGGATCTACATGAATAATGGAAAAATTGTTGGTCAAATATAGCGTTCGGCAGGTCACAATATCAACAAGCTGCACGGATAGCAAGGCAGGACGAGGAAGCAATAAGTTGAATTAAATTACATGTTTTCCTAATCATACAAGTCATAATGCTAAATTTTGCTAAGGTGATAGCGGTCTTTAGTACAGGGGTTGGGTGCTGATCACTCAAATTACTTATCGTGTATTGGACCTTTCGGCTTAGTTGCTCAAAACTGCCTCTTCAAACATCCGCTGTACCTCAGCAGAAACAACCTTGACCAATTTCCGATAGAGCTAACTGAAGGAAATACAGCAATCAATACTGTAGAAATGAGAAGTTAATTTGACCAGTTGCCCCTACCAAATAGAAGCCCTTCTTAAAATTATTCCCACTAAGAGCAAGGGGGCAACCCAATCAAATATCCTCATTTCCGTCTCTTTATTTTTTTCATCGCACAAATCAATCAACTTGGTGCGAAATAGTTATGAAAAAATGTAATTTTTTGTTGTAATAGTCTGTCTGTGTTACATTTATAGCATTACAGATGTGATTGTTACAACAGAACTCAGAGAGAATATTAATAAGTGGCTTTGATTGGACTCCTTTGCTCAAAAGCGTTCGACGATAAATTATGAAGAGTGAAACAACATTGAAAAAAGAGTGAGATCGTTTCTTGATGGTCAATATTAGTCGGTAATATAAGCGCCATTTTATTACCACATTCATAAGTTGGAGTTTAATCTAATCGAGTCTTTTATCAAGCTGCTTTTCAAGTTTCACTTTTTCGCACCGAAACAAGAATATTGACTGTAAATATGTTTTGATCAAATTAGATTGTGTACTGCTTCACTTACCAGTAATTGAACCTGTTTTGGTTTCTTTGAAGCTCACTGTTATTATTCTGTTGAGATTACTTAACTGGGTACGTTGGTAAATAAACTTGGTACTGCTTGGAAACCTTTTCTTGTTTTCACTTCTGAAGGGAGAGTCAAGCAAACAGAAACATTTGGGAAAACAAGCTACGGGTTTGAAGAGTTTATCTTGTATGTTTTAATTTTGCTTTGCCCTAATCTGCCAGATGATTGTCTTCGTAAAATAGTGTGGCTTACTTTTCCAGACATAATACCCAGTTATATGCGAATTATTATTTCTCTGTTTATCCCTTATAAATGCCCGGTGTCATTCAAATCTGACTCGAAACTTTGTTATAACCAATTTAACTCTCTCTCTCACTGTTGTCTTGTGTAAAACATTGGGTTGAAGTAGTTACTCTTAACTCCCTCCCAGACAATAATAAAAATAAAGCTAAAATAGAAGTTGCGTCTCTAAGTGCCCGTGCCCAAAGTGAAGCTGCCGGAATCCCTAATTTTGAAAGACCAAAGAGATCAGGTTTATCTTGAATATTGATTTTTGTAGCTTCCGCTAGGTTAAACTTCAACAAATAATTCCATTGAGTTGAAGTTTAGCCAAAACAGATGCAGTAAATACTTTTATTATTGCGAATTTATGAATTTGAATTGTCATTGGAATTTTTCTAATACCAACCTTTGTTATTAGCTGCATAGGCGTTAATTTGGCCATAAACAGAGTTTAAACCATTTGGGTCTCATTTTGAGAGATAAATACTATTGGTTTATAGCTATTTTCTGCCCTTACTTTGCCATGAGCGTTTCGCTTCCGTGTTTGAATTACAACAACAAAGTAGTGGATCTTAGAACCTTACATGATACATCTAATCCAGATAGTGTGGGCTGTCTTGGGGACGTGGTCAATGCAGGTGGAGGAGAAGGGGTGAATGGTAATGGTGTTATTGGGGGTGACAACATAGCTGTGTCGTTTGCAGATGGAAGAAGTCTCCTGTCCGTGTCATGTGTGCAGGGTAGTCTGGATCTGGTGCAGTGGGTTCTCAATAGTGAGTACGACGAGGGATCCCGAGATTTCTGTGGATGGACTCCAATGCATGTGGCCGGTAAAAATTTACTAATTGCTTGCAACAATAGGGATCACGCACGATCCCAGTCATCTCAGAACCCAGTCTGTTCATTAAAAATGTTCACTTATTCGGTGGCTATAATTTGCTATAATCACGATTTGTAGCATTCGAAATTGCATAGCATCTTTTAAAAGCTTCTTTTTTTTCGTGTTCTCGCTTTTGTTTGCGAAGCGAAGCTTCTAATCTGTGTTCATCTAGCATCTCGTAGAGTAAAGGCTTAGTTGATACGTTCATAACAGAAAGTGCTCAAAACATATTTAAAACACTGTTTTCACTGCAAGTAAGTGACTTGTAATCGGATACCAGACTTTTTTCCCGTAAACATCTTTTCTCACTTGGTCTTGAGGTAAAGAGGTCTCGAGTTCCAATCCCAGTCGGACCAAGAGTTCTCTTAATCTGTAAAGCATAGAGTTTTCTAAATCAAACAATTTTAGTAGAATTGACAGTCGTTCTGGGATTTATAACTGTTTCCTACTAGAATTGACATTTATTCTGTGATTGTAATTTTGCAAGCTCCGAAGTTAATTTTTCATTTTAAAAATCAAATGGTTTCGGCTTATGTTTTATGTCTCCTTATTTTTGGGTTTTTCAATGTCAAACATTAATTTTTTAAATCGTTTTGAGTAATTGAGGGAGGAATAGGGTCCAGAAGCTTTAAGTTCCCTAGTAATGTCGGCTTGGTAGATACTCAGCGAACGAAACCTTATGTAACTCTGGCGTTTGTCCTTTTCATTTTTTTGTGAAATTGAGTTTTCTTTTTTTTCTCATATATTTACACTTGCGATTAGCAAGCGTTATCAAATCCGAGTGTTTTTTTTGGTTCAAAACTTGCATAACTTGAATCCACTTCGTATCTAAGTTTATAATGAAATCAAATTTTTTAACGTCTCCGAATTTTGTGGTCTGGAGGTAGAGAATACGCCTGGGACGGCTAAGGTCCTGAGTTCGAACGTGACCAGGACCTGTTTTTTTTTCAACTGAAATTAATATGTTTCATAAAAAATTGGCCATTTATTTTTCCATATCTTTTGTTGGATTAATTGCCAAATATTAGAATCAATTTGTTTCTGTACGGCAATTTCATTGTAATTGCTTTTAATGTTTAATAGTCGGTAAAAGTAGATCATACTCTTCTATATGTCACGTTGATTTTTTTTTCAGGAAAAATCTTAAAATTTGTTCAGGCTCAGATTTTTTTCAAATTCAGTTCGTTTCTTGTTAAAAAGAAGGCAAACTCGACTATCCAATAGCAAAAGTGTGAAGGTCGCAAAAACATGATAGGAAGTTTAGTTTTTACCCTCCGATAAGCAGCAAGGGTTGTTCACTGAGTAATTAAAATAAGAAATGTTGAGTTTAGGTTCAGTTCCTAATAAATTCTAAGTTCCTTGAGTCTCGGGAATGCTTGGTCTGGAGTTAATGAATGCGGCTGGGATTTCAAAGGTCCTTCCTGGGTTTGAATGTGACAGGACCTGTTTTTTTTTTAAATGTGAATTAGTCCGTTTATAAAAAAAAGTTGTCGGCTTCTTATTGTCTGCTTATGATTTGTCGGCTTAGTTGACATATTGATGAATAATTTTTTAAAAGATCTAAATATATAAATGCTTTTAGTGTTCCGATGTACTGCTGCGGTTTGTAATTTTACTAAACTTGTCTTCGTATATTTTCTTTTTTTTCCGCTTAAAAGCTTTATTCTGCTTGAATGATTTCGACCTAATTTTTATCAATTTAGTGACCTAATTTCGAATAACTTGAATGGAAGCATATTTTTTATGCGTTACTCTGGATCGCTCAAATTGCTTGAAGTCTTAATAGAAATTATAGTTGAAGTTCTTCGTGACATTTTTTTCGGCTTTTTTCTTTTTTTCCGCCTTGATAGGTTTCGGCCTATTTTATATCAACTGATTGGCCTCATATTGCGTCGTTTCAACGAGCGAAAGAAGTTTGTGTGTGCGTGTTTGTGTTTTGAGGGCGATAGGACTTAATAATTTCTTATTAGTCTTATAATTGTTTCTGCTTTTTTCTTTTTTGAACTTCATAGGTTTCGGCCTATATCATATCGGTATAATATCGTTTCATCTGACAAGCAAAGTGTTTCATGTGACATATTTTCGAGTGTTTGGGTGTCTTAAGGGTGAGGGGGGCCTATTAATGTTTCATAGGTCTCGAGTCTCGTTGATGTTTTTTTTCTCTGTTTAAAGGGTTTCTGACAAGGTTTTTCGGCTTTGATACCGCTGGGTACATTATCGTACGATGCTTTTTTAACATTCTATTGTCTTGGCATGTTTCTGTTTAAAACTACTCCTATTATTCTTGGATAGATCTAGTGTTGACATTTTCGAATTTTTTTTTTCATATATTTTCTCTTGTTTTGTAGTGGTGTCAGATTTTCTAGCGAAATACAAAAAACTTACACATAGATCCATTTTTTCAAATTTTATTAGTTTAACCAAAAAAGTTTCAATCATAAATTGTTTTAGAGACTCAAAGAACTTTAAAGTCGTCTTATGTTAGAAGTTCGAAAGTTGAGATTTTTCAAAAAAAACTAGTCAGTATGTTGTTTCTGTTTGCTTACGTTCATTGTCTCTCTTCCAACACTCTGTTGGCTATTTTACTTTTAGACAACTGTGTTTAAAAGTTATTGTTCAATTTTGTGGATTTGTGATTTCCGTCACATTTCTTATTCGCTACGTGCGAATAAAATTTTTGCCAAGCTCAGAAACTGGTGTTTTTCGATCTGACATTGAATTTCCAATTATCTAATCAAGCTTTTTCAAAGACTTCCTATTTAATTGCCGCGAAATCGAATTTGTTCTCACTCGAAAATGTTCACGTTCGTAAAAGTTTTATTTCGGTTTGATTTTGTGATTTCTTGTAAAGTTGGATCTAATTTCATTTGTTTAAAGGAAGGCAAATTAGAATTTTTTGGTTTCCGTTTATTCTATTGACACTTTTCCAACTGTCTGCTAGCTATGTTCTCTTTTTGTATCGAATTAAAATCCTGGGGTTCGATCTTGTGGCAACATCTGATGTTGTTGTTGTTTTTGTTGTAGTTGCCTCGTCGAGGTGCAGCTCATAAAGTTTCGTCATTTCGGTCATATTTCATTTCAGCTTTCGAGGGTCGAGTAGAAGTGTGCAGAGCACTCTCTAAGGCAGGTCTGTCAGTGAATGACACTGACGACGAGGGTAGATCCCCTTTGATCTGTGCCGCCCAAGAAGGACACCTGGATGTGGTCAAGTTCCTAGTTGCCACAGGGGCATCCATTGACCACATTGCAGCCAACAGTGGTCAGAATGCACTACGGGTAGCAGCTTTGGAGGCACACGCGAATGTAGTCGGGTTTCTACTTGAATCAGGTACGTTTCGTTCTCTGATTCCAAAACAACCGGTGCTTAATTTTCGGCACGAAAAAACGCTCATAGAGAAAATATACACCTTTTATACCGTCAAAACCAATCAACATGTCAGAATCTAGATAGAAAATTAAGTTTGTTGTCTTGTATATGTAAACTTTTTGAAAAACTAATTTTCAAGCGCATATCTAATTTTGCCGCTGAAAACAACTTGATTGATAAGCATCAGTTTGGATTTCGAAGTTATCATTCCTGTACTCATGCCATTTTGTCCATTACTGACTTTTTTCGTGAATCAATTGATAATAAAAAAAAATTGGTTACTCCTGCTTTATTGATTTGAAAAAAGCATTTGATACAGTTGATCGGAAAATTTTACTTAACAAACTTTATCAATATGGGCTCAGAAGGAAAATTCACAAGTTAATGACAAACTATCTTACAGGGAGAAAACAATATGTTTATTCGAATCAATCCGTCTCCAATATGCGAGAATGTACAAAAGGTGTTCCTCAAGGTTCAGTTTTGGGGCCATTGCTGTTCCTTTTATACATAAATGATCTGCCGTCGGCCAGCAACGTTAAGCTAACATTATTTGCAGATGATACAACGGTAGTTGATGCTCAAAAATTTGCATCCAAAACGAAGTTCCAGGCAGAATTAAATAAAATATGTAATTGGTGCAATAATAACAAACTGCTCATAAATCAAAAGAAGTGCAAAATAATGAAGTTTGGAAGGGATAACTTAAATGAAAAGTTTTCTTTTGGTAATAATGTACTCGCCGAGGTTTCTGATTTTAGGTATTTAGGAATTCAAATGGACAACAGACTCAAATTTGAAAGTCATATTAATAATGTTTGTGGTAAATTAGCTAAATTTAACGGTTTACTATTCAAGGGTAGAAACTATTTCTCGAAAAATGTGCTGGTTAAATTTTATAACTGCTATGCAAAGCCTTTCATTTCCTACGGTTTAATTGCATTTGGTGCAAGATCAAAAAGCCTAATAGAAAAAATATTTTGATGCAAAAACGTATTTTTAAAACTATTTGTTTCAAGAGAAAATTTGAGCATGCCTCATATATCCTACATTCGTTTGAGATTGACACCGTTTTTGACTTATATTTCAGACAAATATTCAAAGAAACTTTTAATCAGCTTCGTAGTAAAACTCCCCTTAAAACTTTTAATTTGGAATCTCTGAATAATCGTCGGGTTACTCGGGCCTCTGTGGCAAAAACTTTACCAAGCATGAAAACTAGAACACAAATAATGCAACGTTCATGGAAAAATGTGTCTCTTAAATGTTACAATTTTTTGAAATCAAACGAGCTGATACCAGATAACCTAAACCAATTAACTGAGCATCAACTAAATGGATATTTCAAAAAATTGCTTTCATTGTTTCTTAAAGATAATGGAGATCTTCTAGATTTATTTTTTTGAATCATCAAGTCGGATACTATCTCGCAACTTCTGTCATAGGTTTTTTCAGGGTCATGCCTCGATAAGCTGCATAGCTTTTTGCATGATCCTTGGTGGGTTTAATTTGTACATGCGGTTTATTGTTTACCAGTCTGTATAGTATTACTCTCCTAAATAAACTATATCTAGAAAATTTATAAATCTTACATAACATAGACCTATGTACTTAGTCGAAACCGTTATTCCTATGGTTCTTGGAGATAATAAACCAAGATCACCTTGTCCCCAGCTATCAGCATTAACAAAATTGACTATGAACTCGATCTGCTGTTAGCTTAACTCACTTTCTATAAAGTTATCACTGTGCTGATGTGTTCAGGTTCAAATATCAATCTGCGCGACAAAGATGGAAGAACAACTCTGTATGTGTTAGCACAAGAAGACAAATTGGAAATGGGACAATTGTTCATGGAATGGAGAGCAGATGTCCACCTGAAGGACTTCGACGGCCGATCTCCTCTAATGGTGGCTGCATGGCAAGGCCACTTCGAAATGTGTCAGTTTCTGATTCAGCATGGAGCTGACATTAACTGTGTAGATATTGAGTCGAGAAGTGTGCTTCAAATGGCAGCGTGGCAAGGACGAGAGTCGATCATTAAGTTGCTGTGTGAAAGTGGAGTGGACATTAACTCCATGTGCAGTCAGGGTGCAACTGCACTGACCATAGCGGCCCAAGAGGGCCATACTGAGGTCATAGAGTGTCTGTTGCAGTATGGAGCTGATCCACTTCTGCAGGTATGTCGTTACCTGGAATCAGTCACGATGAACGTAGTGAAGACTATTGAATAGGTTGTCATCATTTTTTTTGTTCAGCTCCAACTTGATTTTTTGCGGCTTTCTTTTTTTCTTTCTTGTCTTTGTTTCTCTTTTTGATACGGAGTAAAAATGTCCGAACGGCTTTGAAAAAAATTCTCTCTGGTTAAAAGGAAGGCAAGCTCCACTATCGAATAGAAAAAGTGTAAAGGTCACGAAAAACTTGATCGACCTCTTTTTTCGAAAGTGTATAACTACACATTTATCTGGCGGAAAAATACCTATTGATCCAGTTTTTTCAAATTGGGTTAATGTTATGGAAAAATTTTAATCATACGTTTGAATTTCGACTTTTCAAATAGCTTAGTAACCATCTGGTTAAGCTTCCCGGTACGCTGTTGCTTTGAACGAGATCCAAGAGTTTGATGACAGACCATGGCAAAAGCTTAAGATAAATCAAGCGTGACCAAAACTGATCTAGAGGGTGACCTTTGTTGTCCAAAATTGTCAATGATAGAAGAATTCGATGAATGATAACGCCGTAGTCGAACGAAATATTGGTGATCGGCTTTGGGTAGGTGTTTAGTTAGGGTTGAGTGAATAAAAGATTCAAAAGTTTTAATAGTTGGTCTAAAAATCGATACCGGGCGGTAAGATTCTGACGGTTTGAAGACTCCATTTGCTTTAGAGAGGGTTACCACCTTTGAAACCTTCCGTATTTGAGGTATGGTGTTAAGAGAAAGAGAGCAGTTGAAACTGTGTCTTAAAAAATTATAAATACCGGGTTAGTATTGTACATTAACAGCATTTGCATTTTCTTTCACCTTTTAAAAGTTTTTTTTTGTCATTACAAATTTGTGGATGGACTGCAACCTCACGCTTACATACATTTGACAATTAGACAATCATTTCTCCAAAACTTACTAGGGTAAGTATGATGACCGAAAATCTGGAGGATTGCCCGCCAATTCTTTTCTCTCTTTTGCCGTTTTGAATATGATTTCTTTGTTGAAATCGTTCGAAAGTGGATCTGACGGTTTGTTGATAGGATGTTGTCACTATGTTTTGATAATTTTTTGTTTCGTCATTTTTTGCAGGTACAAAAAAATGATGACGGCCTGCGTTTCCATCAAGCTGAATAGGTTTCTTTGCAAGAGTATCTGCTATTTCATTTTAAATTTTTTCAGTCAGCTTTTCTAAAATTTATCAAACTGATCTTGTCAGCAATGTGAAGATTCATAAAAATTGGGAAGTGATCTGAGCGCGATTTATAAGTGTTTGCCAAACAGGTTAAGTGAGTTTGGTGGTGCTCATTTAGTGAGCGAATGAATATTGAATTTTTTCGGCATCTAGGTTAGCACCTCGTCTGTTTTCTGGTTTATTAAGAGCACCAACGTGGTGAATAAGCATTTGTATCATCAAAGACAATAGTATTTTTATTCTGAGAGGAGAGTTGAAATAATTGCTTTATCGTCAATAGGACAGCTACTATGGGAAGGGATATAAAATTTCATGATACGAAGATTCTGTTTGGTGGTCTTTCTACGATTTGCGTCTCCAGAGCTCCGTCTTCTACTATTCCATGTTCATCGTAGAGAAGAGAGTTGTGAATTGCAGTTAGTAGACCTCCTCCTTCTCGCCGTCGGTCCATCCTAGATAAAGTCTATTTAAACGCTAACGAGGAAGTGCGGTTTTTCGAGTCAAGTTTGATTTCTTGAAAAACTGCAATATGAATGCGGTACTCGCACATTTAAGCTGCGATTTCATGTGCTTTCCTAGAGATGCCATTGCAATTTAACTGCAGATTATTCACGGAATTAGCTGAAGGTGAGAGTGGATTGGTTTGGTTACTAAGGGGGGGTTGTAGCTAGTTGAGCTGTGTTAGTGTTAGTGTTTGAAACCAAGGGACGTTAATTGCTGGGGGAAATGTAGTTGAAGAGGGGTTAGAAGTTGGCCGGGAACAAGTTGCAGAATTCATTACTGGGAGGGGCAAGGTAAAATGAGCTGTGCAGGTGAGACACTAAAAATCTTTGTGATGATTGGATTAGACTACTGCGTTTTAACGCTTGCGATTAGCAAGCGTTATCAATCCGGAATGTATTTTTTTTTTCGGGTTAATAACTTGTTAAACAGAATCACTTGTGTGCTGGGTCATAATGAATTCAAACTTCTCCTTGTATTCGGCACCTAGCCTGGAGATGAAGAATACGCCTAGGACAGTAAAGATTTGGGTTGTGAAGTTGACCAGGAAGTGTTTTTTTTTTCGAACACGAAATGAATTTAAAAAAAGTAGGCCTATAGTTTGTCTGGTTGTTTTGTCGGCTTAGTTGCCACATCGTAGAATTAGTTTTTTAACGTATTTTTAATGCAATTTCTATAATTGTTTTGAATTACTCCTGCACTTCAATTTTATTACTTTTCATTTTTATTAGGCTGACTTGGTATATTTTGTTGTTTTTGTTTTTTTTTAGCTTGAAAACTTGATTCGGCTCAAATAATTTCGGTCTATATTTTATTGGCATAGTTTTTATGCTAACTTCCTGATCGCATAAAATGCTAAATTGCTTAGAAAAGAATTTATAGTTCAAAGTTTTTCGTGATAACAATTATATTTTCGGTTCTACCGGAAATTATTAAGTTTCGTCGGATCAGTTGTCGCTAGTTAATTATTTTTTAATTTTCCTTTTATTGCCGTCGATTGTGTTTCTAGACTTGTTCTCCGCATTTGGACCAGGGCTCCAGGCAAATATTTGAGTTTTATTAAAAAGTGTTTTTTTTTTTTTTTTTTGGGCTTCGTGGATTTCTTTCCCTGTCTGCTAGACTGGACTGATATTTTAATGTTGTGTCGCAAGTCGCGCGAAGCCGCTTTGCCTCTGTGTAAGTTAATCCATCCACAAACGTGGCGCCTCATGCTTGCTTGGGAACGGAGGAGGATTTTGTGATTACACGGGGAGCTGGTATACGGTCCCGGCTTTGGGATTTATGCCGGCGCGAAGAGAAGTATTAGGATTAAAAGACGGAGCAGCCCGGCCGACTTAGGAAACTCCTTAACCAAAAACCCAGTCGTAGCATGCCTTTTGCACTCTCGTGTTGTCCATTTTTGAATAGTTCATTGTGTTTGCATATAGACGGTTTTGTAAAATTGAAACTTTTGAACAACATCAGCACGCAAACTGATATACCTTCATTAAAGCTATCCTTTTACTGACAAAGACTGCAAACTTAGGTCGTGTTTTTTTTACCATTGAACATCTAAGGAAATTGATTCTTGTTTCTATTAATGACTGACTTTGATGATTCAGGATAAGCACGGGAGGAGCGCGTACAAAGTGGCGATGTTGAGTCGCAATGCGGAAGTGAAGGACTTAATGGACAGAGCGGTAGAATTCAACAATCGCGCAAAGGACGATGTTGAAAACAACAACTTGAAAAATGCGATGAAGCACGAACACTTGCGCAGCGAAACACCGACTAGAAGTGAGCGTATATACAGCGCTGCTCCCATACTTACTCGCGTGAACTCATTTTTGGCCCAGAAACCCTCTTCGGTTGATCAAACTTCGGCTTCAAGACTAAGTCATGGATCGCCGAGTCCGCCGTGTGTGCCGAAACGCGAACCACCAGTGCCGCCAGCACGACCGCAACACACGCATGAAATGTCATCGGGAAATAACATGAATATGCGAAGTATAGTGAACAATGGGTGTGAAATGGGGATGAATACAGACGGGAATAGTGGTAATGAGTTGAAAGCGACTCCTAGTTTATCTTCGGGCAGCAGTCCCTTCTCATCCTCGGATAATGGGAGTGGAGAAGAGAGGGATCTAATGAGAGACAAATTTGAACAGCTCAGAGTCACGTCATCAACTTCAGTAGAACCATGCGACGGCGCATCTAATGTACTAGCGACACAACAGTATCGTACAAATAGCTTTGTGAGTAGCAACGGAAACAGTGCTGCTGTTAGCAACATTAGAAATAGATTAGCAGCAACGAGTGGGATCCCAGATACAATATTCACCAACGGAACTACAACTGGTAATAACTTAGCTATGAGTGATAATAATAGTAGCACTAGTAGTAATATCCACCCGAGTAACTATATCAATAGTCACAACCACCACCACCATCAGCACCAACCTCAACACGAGTATCCAAACCTGATGACATCTTTCAATTCCGCCTCACTATCACAGATAGCAAATCAGCAGTTACCATTCCACCAGATTCAACCTAACCACCACCAATTTCAACCAACTAATCAGCTTCAACAGAGGCCAGTTCAGCCTTCTCCGCTACCCCAGAGAATAGACAATGCAAATAATACAGTCATGTCATCGTGGACTAATATTAGCAACTCACAGACGCCTGTTCAAGGAGGCAGTACGAGTAATGTGGTCACGGCGATGAGTATAGCGTCAGCATCCGCTCAAGTTCAAAGGAAGCCAGACAACCCGATGTATATTGACGTGAGGCAACTGCAAAAGAGCATTCTGATGCAGGCTAGAAAGCAAGAATTAGAAGACAGAGAGAAAAAGAACAAAAAGAGAAGAAAGCGGAACCTTTTCGCAAAGATCCACGGGCTCCTGTCTTTTGGAAAAGCCTCAAGTAAAGTCCAAGACGAGTCTGATAGAAGTGGTAATAAAAATACGGCAAGTTCTGTCCTCTCTGATGACGAGTTCTCAGTGTCTGCTTTTGCCAACAGCACGTGTAATACTCCGAGAGCAGATCAATTTACTAATGTTAACCAATTTTCATTTGCGTCTCCGATTGATCAAAGAAAACTCGACTGTAGAGTTGGGGATTTCGCTAGGAATAGTCAAAAGAAATCAGCCTCCTCTGATAATTCAATATCAGATAAGAAGTCTGCAGATTATAGGAGACTGGTAGATCTCAGTCATTTGAAAAACGTGGATCCACTAACGTCAAGGTCTTTTAGGAATTACGACCGACTAGGTGCTATAAAAGCGGCAAAGGCTCAGAAACAGCAGCTCCAGGGAGGAAAACAGAGGAACTATGTGCCTCTGACATTCCAAAGCGGAAATCAATCAAACGTGCAGCCTAATTTAATTCCAGGAAGCCAAATGATGGCCAGTAGCATCAGGTATACCCCAGACCCAAATACGATTGCTGCTTCCAATCCTAAGAAGAGCTATTATATTTCACTAGCCGAGATTAAGAAGGCGCCTTCTAGAAAACCGCCACAGGTTCCTGAAGATGCATCAAAGTGGTTCCAACCACGAGGCAATAAGCCACCGGAAGTTCCGTCGAGGAACCCAAAACAGCTGAGCAATGTTTTCGAACACGTGAATGGAATGTCCAAAGTAGTTGCGCAAATTCCTATTCCAGGTCACTTCGTGCCAAATTTCCATGACTTGCAAGGAGGCAGCATCTATGTCCAATCGTCTTCTAAAGGAATGCCGGGCGCAAATCTTCAACAGCAGATGAGAACTACTTCCAATTCAGGCGCCGGTGCGTTGAGGAATTATGTGAACCAGCACGAACTGGCTAGCAGGTTCCAAGGGAGATTCGGCAATCCAAGAACATTGGAGACTATCGAAGAGCCCACTGGAATGACTCTAGAAAGTCGCACTAGTGCTGGGGCAACGTGAAATGTGAAATCTTGGCGGACACTCAAAAAAGCAGTATTCTGTTGATTTAATTCGGCAGCCACCTATTTAGATTAACTTTTATATAGATTAAATTTTGTAGCTATATTAAGTCAGATATTGATCGCTATTTGTCAAAATTTTTATCCCTTATTTTGTGAAACATTATTGTTTTAGTATAACACTTAAGTTAAAAAAATGCTTTGTTCTATTTTTTGATTTTGTATAATCTAAAAATTAAAGCTTTGAAATTATTTTATAACCTTTGTGCGTAAACAAAAGAATGCAATTTGATGCGATAAAAAGATTTAGATGAGATGATATCTGAAGTAGTAACATATCAAATCTCAACACTACAAATTCACTTTGCGCTGGTTGTCAAACGAGCGGACGGTTTTCTTATCTTAGTCGTGTAGCACGGAAAAAAAGTTTAAACTCTTTAATAATATGCTCGGATAAGAATATATCCGAGGAGGATAAACATAGAGCTAGGACAAAGCCGCAGAGAGAAGCCGAAAAGAAAAACAAGTGACTTAAAATGGATAATTTACTCTAAACCTCGAGAGTTCGATTCTGGCGCATCAGTGTTTTTTGTTTTCAGCTTTGCCTCTGTGTCGGAATATGTTTTTATCGTACTTATATAATTACTTACTCGATTTCTATAATTTGTTTTTTCACATGCGAGAGCCAGTGTGCTTTAATTAGTGTGCTGTTACAGTTACTTTGACTGCAGCACGAGAAATTTCCGATAAACTACCTTTTAGTTCATCGTATTTTGCAAATAATTTTTTCAAATGTTTTTGGATAAAAGTTTGAATTTTTTCGGAATTGTTTTTCGTCAAAATTTTCATCAGTTCATTTTCCATTTTTTAAATGCGTTTTTTTAAAAAATTGTTTCACTTTTTTAGCAGCCGAAATTTCAAAGAATGTTTTTTTTTAAATTAAAAGAAATCATAATAAAATTGAAAGTCGGTTGTAATTTGTTAAATTCTGGTTTTGAATTATGCTTTTCATTTGTTTTTCTTCCCTCAAATTTCATCAAATTATGTTATGCGGGCGTAGTAATCTTAAGTGCGCCGTTTTGAAGGCGAAAATTTTTCTTATGCTTGTGTGTCTGGAGTTTTGGGTCGTAAAAAGTTTCGACTTTGTTTAAGTAATGTTTTCACTCAACTTTTCAAATAAAAGCGACTCCCGTCTCGTTTTCTATTTACTATCATGTATTGCAATATTTGTTTTTATCGCCTCTGGGTGAATTTGGTTTCCTTAAAAGGTTAGTTCGAGTGAACAGGTTTCGCCATGCTCTATCGGCTTAGTAACCTCACGTTGCGTCGTTTGTTTGGATATAATTATCTTTATGCTAAGGTTAAGCAATTTTCGCTCAGATTTTTAGGGTTTTTTTCTGGGCCAGGTTTTTCTGGTTGCTGGGGAGACTGGTAAGACTTCTTCTCGTTGCTTGCGCGCTCGTTGTGCGGTGCGAACTAAATTTTCTTTGGATGGTAGGGCTAGTTGAGTGGCAATGTTGTCTGTAATGGGCTGAATGGCGACTGCGACGGTTGGGGTGTTACTATCGCTTAGATCCTTGATGTTTTTCAAAACTAGTCGAGCATCAAAGTTTTCTCCATCCGTAATTGCTGTTGCGTGGCATTTATGGGTTTGGTACTTTGAGCAGTTCCAATTTGTGGTTGTCTTGTTTTTGCGTTTAAGGTAATACTCGTGGCCTGATACCACTAGCATTTGTTAGTTTTTCGAAGATAAAGTAAAATGGGATGACGCTTCAAACATTATATCTGATCTGATAGAGTGGTATAACAATGGTTAAAGAAATAGGCAGTATGATTTTTTTTTATAAAACTCACAAACGTCTTTTGTTGCCTTCAATTAGCACCATGTAGGTTATCTCTGTTTTAAACGCGTGAGTGAGGGATTATTTCTCAAACTAATCGAAATGCAATTATTTTTGAGATGCTAGAGGCATCAAGTGAATTAAGACTAGCTTTTCAGGCCTCAATTAGTAAGCTCAATTGGACTACTTCTGTACTTATAAAAAGGACTTAATTTGAAACAAATTATCGTCATTAAAAGGGGGTTAAATTGTTGTGAGGTTATCATGTTACGGGGTTGTAAACAGAGGGTGTTAAATATCGTAGGGTTAAAGAGTGGGAAACCATTTTTGACTTCGTACCACTTTGTAGTTTTTATTCCAATGCTACATTAAGGCGACAATTGTCACTGTCGGCCTGATTATTCTTAAAATAATTTCATTCGTGATTCAAATTGTTTCATAAAAAATTATTGAAAGATGCAGAATTTTTCACCATTGAAAAAATTGGTCTTTGAGCCCCGGCCAATTTTTTTTTGGCCTAGCTAGCCATTCCATGTTAGTGATGTATCCCAAGTGGTGCGAAGCTCTGCTTCGCCTCTCTATGTTTACAGAAATAGCAGTAGTAGCAACTAGCTCAGATTATTCCGACCTCAGTAAACATTGCAAATATTAAAGAAAAAATGTGTGGCGTTTTCTCAGTGAGGGATTCAAATTAAGCTCGAAGAACAAAATAGCTTTATAATGTCAAAACTTCGAATACGATAGAAAAGATGTGATTGATATAACACATCCCCTGGGAGCTTTTTGAGTTGTCTGAATTATAAAAAATTAAACACAAAACTACAAGCGCCAAATGACCTAAGTAAGAATATGCGTTGACACTTAATTCGCATGTAAATTAAATTTAATGCATGAAAAGAACTTAGTACATGTGGTTAGTTCTTTTTGTAACAAAAGTATTAAACGCTCAAACTGAAATTTGACTATAAAGCTGTTTGATTTTTTCGAGCTCAATTCAAATTAAATTGCTAAGAGGTTTACTATCTACGCTCTTCGAGTACAAAAAAATTATCTATTGATCTAGTTTTCTCAAGTATAGTTAAAATATGAAAAATTGGCGTGTGTTAAAGTAACATACGACCAGTCCTGTTCAAACTATATATTGATAGTTGAAGGGCAGTCGGAACGACCAGTGATCTGCCCTGATATGAGAAGTCACGTAATTTATTATCGTCTTTGGTCAATTGAACGACCCCACCCCTAATTCTCTTGTAAATAGATTCTTGATATGATGCTTTCCCAATGTAAAAATCAGTCAATTGTTCGAGATTCAGTAATGGATAGGTGAGGTGTGTGGATTCTTACAAGAGTTGGGGGTATTTGATCTGCAGCTGGAACCGTTCTCATAAACCGCAATGACTCCTGAAACAACTGCTCTGAGGTAGAATGTAAGTTCATTCGCTCTAGTTTTCAATGAAACATTTTGCTTTATAAGGAAAATGATGGAAAAAAAAGAATTTGAAATTGACAAACAAAAAATCCAATATGTTGCAAAAGAAAAAGGAAGTCGAAAAACTAAACAGATATACTTCATTATTTTCTATACGTTTCGATCGACTTCTGCTCATACTCAAATACTTTCTGCGGCTTTTATAATTTAGAAAAGTCCATTGACCTTAAATGTGAGCGCTTTTTCAAAATAGTTTAAATTACGCCCTATCGAGTATCTCAAACTATTTGGGTCATTCGGATAGTTTATCGCTATCCAACTTGGAAAGATAAGTGAGAGCGTTTGTTCACAATTTTTTTTTGACTGTTCGTTCAATCCTGTATCCAAATTTAGTGACCCCTTTGCTCAGTTTCTTCTTAATACATAATAAACGATTAAGTCGGATTAATCGTAAAATCTCACCCCAGTCAGTTTAAGGGGGAGAAAATGCGGATTTTTCAGTGTAGCCAAAAATTATTGAAAACTTCAATTTAAGGGATTAACTGCAAACAAATACAATCTGGCATCAAAATTTGGAAACCCAATCAAATAGCGCGTTTGTTCGAACTGCTTGTGTTATACAGCATTATTTTTCAAAATTAAGACATGGCTAGGGGAGATTATGGTAGGCTAGTTGGAGAAGGAGTGAGTATACGGTCAATCCATAACTAAAATCATTAACTTTCATGTTTGATTTTCATCTGAATTTGAAGTTATCGATTCCAAATGGATCTATTACGTAGTATCTTTATTTATCGATTCACAAACTTGTTGTTTTGACGCATTAACTAATCAACTCACCTTACTTTAAAAGGCATTTTCAATCTGAAGGGTTACAACTTGAGAACAAAACTCATGAACCAATAATTGTTAACCAAGTCTGAACATTTGAAGGCTGCGTACCTTTCCTACTGAAGCTTTCAACTTGAATTTTGGAACTCAACGGAATCATCGCTTCAATTCAGGTGATTATTTACTCTGGCGATAAGCAAGGGTATTTTAATTAAGTACTCGATTTCTTTCCTCTGAATGTATTTAGGCACAGAATTCAAATAAAACTACCTTCATTTAGGTCGTAAATAGGTGTAGCCTGTTTCCGGTGTTAGTTTTTTCGAATTAATTTTCTTGAAAAAAAATTCTAAGATTTTTTTTGGATTCGTTGTTTCCGTCAGTTCATTTTCCGTTTTTGTAAACTAGCGTCAGCTTAATGTATTGTTACGAACCTTCTTTTTTTCCTCGCCTTACTCGCAAATAAAAGTGTTCATTAAAAGGTAACTTATCTGGAAATTTCCTTGTAGCTTTGGAAATTGCATAGCATCTGTTCTCTGCTTTATTTGTGACTAGTGTTTGGATATAACCTATTAAGCTTTCGTAGCTGAGTGGTTAGGGTGTAAGACTCTTAATCTCTAGGTCGCATGTTCGAATCTCATTCATAGCCGATTTTTTTGCCAATTTGAGGCCTATTTCTACTTTTTTATTGCTTTTTGTAGAGCTGCTTTTTTGTCGTGCTTCGCCTCTGTGCTTAAGATTAATTTTGTTTGTTTTTGGTAGTGTTTTTTGGCTTTTTTAAGCTTGGATTTTATTTTGATTTTGAAATTGATGTTGAAAGTTTGTAAGTTGTCATTTTACCAAGTCTGATGTTAAATATTTTTTTTTTGTATACATTTTCGATTAAATGGTTTCGGTTTGTTTTATGACATAGTGAATTTTTATTGCATTGTTTCGTGGGCAAAAATTCCTGCTCGAAAAAATTAGGTATTATTAGACTTGCGAGAGCAAGTGTCTTGAAATCGGGAATAAGACTTTTTCCAGTAAACAACTTTTCTCCTGAAACAACTGCTCTGAGGTAGAATGTAAGTTCTTTGGCTCTAGTTTTCAATGAAACATTTTGCTTTATAAGGAAAATGATGGAAAAAAAAAGAATTTGAAATTGACAAACAAAATCCAATATGTTGCAAAAGAAAAAGGAAGTCGAAAAACTAAACAGATATACTTCATTATTTTCTATACGTTTCGATCGACTTCTGCTCATACTCAAATACTTTCTGCGGCTTTTATAATTTAGAAAAGTCCATTGACCTTAAATGTGAGCGCTTTTTCAAAATAGTTTAAATTACGCCCTATCGAGTATCTCAAACTATTTGGGTCATTCGGATAGTTTGTCGCTATCCAACTTGGAAAGATAAGTGAGATCGTTTGTTCACAAATTTTTTTTGACTGTTCGTTCAATCCTGTATCCAAATTTAGTGACCCCTTTGCTCAGTTTCTTCTTAATACATAATAAACGATTAAGTCGGATTAATCGTAAAATCTCACCCCAGTCAGTTTAAGGGGGAGAAAACGCGGATTTTTCAGTGTAGCCAAAAATTATTGAAAAATTCAATTTAAGGGATTAACTGCAAACATACAATCGAACATCAAAATTTGGAAACCCAATCAAATAGCGCGTTTGTTCGAACTGCTTGTGTTATACAGGATTATTTTTCAAAGTTAAGACATGGCTAGGGGAGATTATGGTAGGCTAGTTGGAGAAGGAGTGAGTATACGGTCAATCCATAACTAAAATCATTAACTTTCATGTTTGATTTTCATCTGAATTTGAAGTTATCGATTCCAAATGGATCTATTACGTAGTATCTTTATTTATCGATTCACAAACTTGTTGTTTTGACGCATTAACTAATCAACTCACCTTACTTTAAAAGGCATTTTCAATCTGAAGGGTTACAACTTGAGAAAAAAACTCATGAACCAATAATTGTTAACCAAGTCTGAACATTTGAAGGCTGCGTACCTTTCCTACTGAAGCTTTCAACTTGAATTTTGGAACTCAACGGAATCATCGCTTCAATTCAGGTGATTATTTACCCTGGCGATAAGCAAGGGCATTTTATTAAGTACTCGATTTCTTTCCTGTGAATGTATTTAGGCACAGAAATCAAATAAAACTACCTTAAAAGTTTTTTTTGGATTCTATCAAATAAAAGTTTTTTTGGATTCGTTGTTTTCGGCCTAGTTTCCGTCAGTTCATTTTCCGTTTTTGTACACTAGCGTCAGCTTAATGTATTGTTACGAACCTTCTTTTTTTCCTCGCCTTACTCGCAAATAAAAGTGTTCATTAAAAGGTATCTTATCTGGAAATTTCATTGTAGCTTTGGAAATTGCATAGCATCTGTTCTCTGCTTTATTTGTGACTAGTGTTTGGATATAACCTATTAAGCTTTCGTAGCTGAGTGTTTAGGGTATAAGACTCTTAATCTCTAGGTCGGATGTTCGAATCTCATTCATAGCCGTTTTTTTGCCAATTTGAGGCCTATTTCTACTTTTTTATTGCTTTTTGTACAGCTGCTTTTTTGTCGTGCTTCGCCTCTGTTTAAAATTAATTTTGTTTGTTTTTGGTAGTGTTTTTTGGCTTTTTTAAGCTTGGATTTTATTTTGATTTTGAAATTGATGTTGAAAGTTTGTAAGTTGTCATTTTACCAAGTCTGATGTTAAATATATTTTTTGTATACATTTTCGATTAAACGGTTTCGGTTTGTTTTATGACATAGTGAACTTTTATTGCATTGTTTCGTGGCCAAAAATTCCTGCTCAAAAAAATTAGGTATTATTAGACTTGCGAGAGCAAGTGTCTTGAAATCGGGAATAAGATTTTTCCAGTAAACAACTTTTCTTACACGTTTTAACTTTTCTCTATTTTGATTTTTAAGGATTCTTTTCAACATCCAGGTTCCTCATGGCCTAGAGCTACCGCCGTCGACTTTGTTCCCTGAGGTCTGGGGTTCGACTCTCAGCCGGACCTTGTTTTTTCAGCATGTATGCATTTGAAAAAAACTCGGTAAAAGCTGAATTGTTGGACTTCCATAATTCCGCTAAATTTTTGTCGGCTTAGTTGCCACATCAGACATCTTGTTTGGCCTATAAGCATCTTTCAGTACAATTGCGAGTGTTGTTCTTTGCAGGATGAGGAAGGTGGAATTGAAACGTTTTAAATTTTTTTCGGCGCAACAGTTGTCTGCTCAATGATTGTCCTCTTAGTTGCCACATCACTGATTTTTTTCTTGTGCTGTAGGCAAACCCCCTTGAAAGCGAAAATGCAAGTGTTGTTCATTCTAGTCTCAGGCGGGAATTGTTAGACTGAGGTGGAATTTTTGAAATCGGGAATAAGACTTCTTCCAGTAAACAACTTTTCTTACACGTTTTAACTTTTTTCAACTTGATTTTCAATGAATCTTCTTAAGCTCCAGGTTCCTCCTGGTCTAGAGCTACCGCCGTCGGCTTTGTTCCCTTATGTCTGGAGTTCGAGTCTCAGCCGGACCTTGTTTTTTGAGCATGTATGCAAATGAGAAAAAAACTCGGTGAAAGCTGAATTGTTGGACTTCCATGATTCCGCTAAACATTTCTCGGCTTAATTGCCACATCAGACATCTTGTTTGGCCCATAAGCATTTTTCATTGCAATTGCGAGTGTTGTTTTTTGCAGGATGAGGGAGGTGGACTTGAAACGTTTCAGTTTTTTTATATTATTTCGGCGCAACAGGTGTCTGCTCAATGATTTTCGGCTTACTTGCCACATCACTGATTTTTTTTCTTGTGCTGTAGGCAACCTCCCTTGAAAGTGAAAGTGCATTTGTTGTTTGTTCTAGTCTCAGGTGGGGCTTTTTATTCTTAGGTAGAATTTCTTTTACTGCTCAACTTGTGTCTGCTCAAAGATTATCGGCTTTTTTTCATCGTTGTATATTGCGTTGTCGCTAATTAGCCTCGTGATAGCAAGGGTTTTGCAATGGGGTACTTTATGTTTGTTTCCGGCACAATTGGTCCGGAGGTTGCGATCACACCTGGGACGGCAAGGGTCCTGGGTTCAAATCTGACAGGACCTGTTTTTTTGTATAAACGAAGTATTCCGTTTCACAAAAAAATTGTCGCGTCATTATTTGTCTGTTTATATTTTGTCGACTTAGTTGTCATTTTGTAGAAGTGTTACTTTTGTAGTTTTTTTTATACATAATAATTGCTTTTAGTGTTCTGATTTACCTCTGATGTTTGTTGTTTTACTAACCTTGACTTTTTATGTTTTCTTTTTAGGTTGAAATTTTAATTCTGACCAAATGATTTGGGCCTATTTTTTATCGGCTTAGTGACCTAATTTCGGTTCATTTCAAGGAAAATATTTTTCTTATTGCTCACATCTGTATCGCAAAAAGCGCTAAAAATCTAAATAGAAATTCTAGTTCGCGTGTTTTCATGACAACTAATTTTTTTGGGCTTTTTTTCATTGCCTTTTCTTTCGGCTTGTTAAGTTTTGGCCTATTTTATGGCGGTTTAATGGTATATTGCGTTTTTCGACCAGCGAAAAAATGTTGTGTGTGCGTGTCTGTGTTTTGAGGGTGAAGTAGACTTATTAAATTAAGTCATCTTGAACATTTTTCCGTTGAAAGGATTTCTACCAATGTATTTTACGGCTTTGTTACCGTTTGGTAAACTTTCTTCCGATGCATATTTAACATTTCATGGTCTTGGCATGTTTTTTGTTTGAAAACTAGCCTTATGTTTTCTTTTGATATATCTAGTCTTTTCAACATTTTAGATTTTTTTTTACTTTGCGGCTTTCTTGCTTTGTATTGCAATTAATGCGAAGCTCAGCTTCGACTCTGTTTAATAATCAAGTTTCTACCATGCTAGCCTAGAATGTACTTCTATCGAGACTCACGAAAAATTAATTTTTGGTAGACTTAGTTTTTTCAACGTTTTTCCATTTTTTCTACTTTTGTTTTCTGTTTGCGTTTAATCGCAAGTGGTGCGAAGCTCCGCTTCGCGTCTTTGATATAAGCCTTACATGTGAATTGAAAGGCTTTCCGAAACTGAAAAACCAATCATGTAAGTCCCGAAAAAGCCGAGTCCTAAAAACTGTTCATTTTTTCCAAGAACTACTCAACAATTTTTACGCCGTGTGAGTGATTTGTCATTCCGTGATGACTTTCACAGCGTGTCACATACACGCTGATGCATGGCCGATTGGTTGCTGAGGCATCGCCAAAAACAGCGAGCTAAACAACATACGATTAATGAAGTTAGATGTAAGTTTGAGCAATCAGAATTCGAGTTGAATAATTTAGGGACGTCTCGGAAAGATTTTTTATTTTAAGTGCTATGAACGTTACTTCAAAAAAAATCACCATTTGAGATGCGGTGTTAAAAACCTAATTGTGCAAAAGAAATTTTGTATTTAGTTTAAGAAGTTTAGGTTTTTCTAATTTTCTGTTTTATTGGCCTTCGCCTCATTTATTTTATGGCTCAGTTTTCGTTCCTTTTTCAAATCGCTAAATCAATTCACACATAAATATTTGACTCGAGGTTTCAATTTTTGTATCTAGAATCTTTGAATCTTAGTGTTCCGACCGTATAAAGTGGAGAGAAATTTTGTCTGCGGTTCGTTACCACAAATAATCTACGGAGTGAGTTGTGATATATCATATCATATTGAAGCCTTTTAATTCATGATTGCCTTTTTTCTGTTGAGAAAAACTGGTTTGGAATCTTTTTTCTCTATTTTCGAAAGAATGAAGCGAGCGAGTAGGCCTCTTAAAAGGCTTATATAAGTAAGCTGATAAAGTAATGCGATAGAAACTTAACCCCATTCAAATTGCGTTTTGAAGTTTCTTGTTTTAGTTCCTTTTTGGAAATGCAAAATTTAAAAAATTCATGAATTTCTGCAAAAAATTGTTTCGATTGTGAAGACAGCAGTTGTCGATCACGTCTAAATCAGTTTTGATTTCTTTTTTTTTTAAGTTCACCTCATTTGCTTTTTAAAAGGAAGGCAAACTGCTTCATTGAACAGCAAAAAACTAAAGATCACGAAAAACGTGATCGACTTCGAAAATGGATTTTAGTTTTCAGATTTGTCTGCTAAATATAAATTTACCTTTTGATTCGGTTTTCTCAAATTGAGTTAGTTAGCAAAAAGTCAAAACGATTTTGGTTTGTTTTATGACACAATGATTTTTTTGCGTTGTTTTGTGCGCAAAAATTCTTGTTCGAAAAAATCAGGTATTATTAGACTTGCGAGAGCAAGTGTGCTTGTAATCGGGAAGTGTACTTTTTCCCGTTAAGAACTTTTCTTACAAATATGCTGTGACTTTCAAGTCTTGCTACTTTCAAATGCTGTTTTAGTTACTTAAAAATCACTGACTGCATCTTAGAAATTTCTATTTAACTACCTTTTAGATAATCGTCTTTCAAGGGCGGATCTAGGGCGGGGGGGGGGGGGGGGGAGTTGGATTTTCAAAAAAATTTCGAAAATTTTGACGACATTTTTTTAAGGTCGACCAAATTGATTTTTCGAGCTCTCCCAAAGCACTGTTTTGCCCCTATTTGCCGTTTTTGGGCACTTTTTGAAAAGCCGTCTTGGGCACTTTTTGAAAAATTTTGACAAAAAAAAATCGCGTTTTTTTTGGCCCTCAAAGTTAGTATATATTGGCGCCCAAGGCGCCTTTAGAAAAATTTTAGGGTCGTTCGGCCAAAAATGGATTTCTGAAAAAGTATCAAAGGGGGGAAGTAGGGGCTCGTAGTAACATATCAATTATGGCGAAAAATCTCCCTTCAATCAATTTTGAACGATTTGTGAAACTGATTTAATCTCCACTTACGCGTAAAGAGCGCGAAAAAATATTGCGCGTTAATTGTCCCAAAGTGGCAATTTTTAAACCCCCATAAATTTACGAAAATTGAACAAAACCCTTTGAATGATGTAAAAAAAAATTCCGTGAAAATTGGCTAGTTAAAAAGTCTAAATTGGCTTGAAGATAAAAACCCTTCCCGAGCACAAGTATTCAGTTACTTTCGTATCGAAAGTCGGAACAATGAACTGCTTAAAGCACTGATGTAGTAACATTACGAGGACAAACTGTACATTCCGTGCATTGTAAACGGATTCCGCAACAGGCCAAAATCCGATTTGTCACAGAATCCTCAACATTTCTACTGTTTTTGATCTTCTTTGCTGTTTTGGATTCCACACACAAATACTTAAAACATTGTACCGCTCAAAATTGCTCCAAAAATAGGCAAATTTGCGGAATCCGCAACTGTTTTTGCGGAATCCAGAACAGTTTGTGGAATCCACAAACGAATAATAAGACATGTGTATAGTTACATTGAGCTGTTTCGGAATCCGCAACTATAAGCGGAATCCGCAAGTTGTAAGTGAAATCCGCAGTTTGTAAGTGGAATCCATATTTTGTTTGCGGATTCCACTTATATTTACGGATTCCACTTACATTTTGCGCATTCCACTTACATTTTGTGGAATCCACATACAGCTGCGGAATCACTGAACTACCAAGTGGCAAGAATAATCACGGGAGCGCCCAAATGATCGGACGCCGCAGCAACCTGCCGCGAAGCTCAGCTTCCACCGATCCTTCATGTTGCCGAAGAGGAATCAGCCAGGCTCTTCAACAAAATCGAAAACCTGGACTCGAGCCACTACCTGGCGCACATGACAACAGACGCCCCCGACGAAGACTGAAAGCGCACGGAACACGAGTTTTTCGCCCCTGCTTCAGAACAACAGCCAAGAACCGACTTAACGACATCGACAGCACGGATGTGAAAAAACTGCTCAAAGACGAAAGAGAACCGCGCTTCTTAGAACACTACCTGCTGAAAACCGATCCAGAGTCTATACACAGAAGAGCTACAGGCGGAGAGTTCCTGGAGTCAGTCACAGGCAGATCGCGGACCGAAGAAACTACCTTACACCGACTCCGACTGAACCGCCACATACCACTGAAAGCAACAAAACACCGACACGGAAACACCGAAGATCCCTCTTGCGAGCACTGCGGGACCAAGGACGAAGAAGACCCTGAGTAATTCCTCCTCTTCTGCCCATGATGGGAGGCCGAAAGAAAGACCTGCCTCGGCGATCAACCGGACTTGAAACTGCTGCAGACGGCCCCCGAGAACATGCTGAAGTTTGTCCAGAAGACTGAGCTTTTCTAGCCCCTTATTTCAAGATAAAAGGCCGTCACACACAACAACAATCCAGAACAACTAGCTATATTTGCTTGCTGCAGAATCCGCAACAAAATAACTGTGCCGACAAAATTTACGTTACAGCTATTTGTACGCGGAATCCGCGAAACTTTTGTAAGTGGAATCCTCTTACTTTTTGGAACATGTTTAAAGATTTGTCTCTGGAATCCAGGAACATACAGACACTATCCAGTGCACAGTTTGGCCTCGTACTGAAATTAGCAGAAATAGCATAAACACGATATATTTTAAGCGCATTTTGAAAGGAGTTTTTGATTTTTTTTAAATAGTCTTGTTTTTCAATTGTTTCATGGCCCTATAGATAAATGCAAACCCGAATCAATTTTTCATTGCAATATTTGTCTGTATGTTATTGAAAGTTCCGTTCGGTACCAATTTGGACAGTTCTATATAATTTTTTAAGACTTCAGGAAGTTTCGCCTAGCGGATATTGTCGTCTGATTCTCGTCTGCTACAATTTTTTTGTCTGCCCGTAATCATAGTCATTACTTTAAATCGGAACTGGCGATAAGGTGAGCTTCGCCTCTGTGCCGGACTTAAATTTAGCGGTTTCCGATTTTCTTTTTAATTTGTGCAACAAGAACTCGTGTTAACATTCTGTTTCCTTTGTTGAACTATTCCGTATCTCATTGCTGAGATTACTGAAACTTGATCATATTTGGTTCAACTACAACCATATAAGCGAGGAAATGTTTCTGATTCTGAAATTCCAAAATTTCAGCAGCCGAAAATTTTCTTGTGGTTTTTGAAAAATGAAGGTTTTAATTTTGTGCCAATAGTTGGGGATGATATATTGAACTTATTGAAATTAAGATAGGTGTTGGAAACTCCCGTTTAAAGAAACAAATTTTTCACCTTTTAAATTGTTCTGTTCTGACATTAACCAAAAAAAGGTTGACGACATTTGTTATTTGTCCCTTACAAAGTTCAATGCTATCAATTTCAGAGTGCCATTTTTCCATTGACTCATTTTCTTCTTGTTATTTTTCTGCAAATGTCACGACATATTGCTGAAATTCATTTGAAGTTTGACTTCGAGCTTCTATATAGAAAAGATTCACTATTGCCAGCTATTAGTTGATTAATCATCATTCGTTTTTTTGAGTTGCTGATAAATTTCTAAATCTGAAAACTTCAAACAATGAAGCCATTTTACTCCTCTCTAGACCAGAAGTCGAACATGGCGCGCTCGGAGGACCAAAGAGCTCTGCACGACAATGAAGAAAGGGCGAGTGGGAATGGCGGGGGCAGTCAAGTGACAGGCACTCTTTTGTTCTCCATCTTCTCCGCTGTGTCCTGCACTGGACTGTCATTCGGATTCAACACTGGAGTTCTCAACAACCCATCAGTAATGATCAGAAAATCAGCTTTTTCCTGAAATCTTCTGGTACAATTCGAAGTGTACGGAGTAATGAACGTAGTGAAGACTCTTATATAGGTCTTGCTGATTTTTTGTTAAGGAAAAAGTCAAAATATTGATGCACTTGATAAAGTTTTACTAATTCGAGGCTTATTTCTATCTTTACTTGTTTCACTTTATAAAGCTGGTTTTTTTTTTCGTTTTCTCGCTAGTATTTGCGAAGCGCAGCTTCGCCTCTCTGTCAAAATACTAATTTTTGACAATGATTTTATATCATCCGAAAAATATCGATGCTCAAAATTCAAATCATAATTTAGATTTGTTGCGTCCCTTTAGAATCTGACCAATTTGGATTGCAATGCGAAAGTTCTAGGCGCAAAAATAACGGCCTTGAACCGCAGAAATGAACCGCTTTGCTCAACAAAATAACTGTTTGGAATGTGGAGAAATGATAGAAACGGAAAGTTATGACCTTCGGTCTGTACTCATAGATTAATTTCAGATAAGGTGCACCGTCTGTTCGTCACGCTCTTATTTTCGGCCGGATAGATTCGTGCAACTTCCTAGTCTAATACCAATCTTAATCTTACTCTTTTATCTCCTAGTCTCAATAGATCTAGTGTATACTGGTTTTCGCGAGTTAGTTCTTGGAGTTTATCCAGAAGGAGAACAACTGTAGTCTAAGATTTATTTAAGTTTTTCTGGTGCTGAAACTACAAGTATCAACACTACAAATAATTGTCAGTGCTAGGGATGGAATATGATTGGTTAGTCAGTAAAATTACATAGAGATAGTTTTATCAATAAAATAATTGGTTTATAAATACTAGTCCAAAACTGGTTCCACCCATCCGGTGTTTAAAGAGTTTTTAGTTTTTAAATAATTATTGTAATGAAGGACGGATGGCGAGATTTCTTATTCTTTGGGGTAGTTTTCTTTGGAAGTTTTGAGCAGTGAATTCTTGAAGAGGGGAGAGATGTAGTTGTTCGTGTAGATGAAAGAAGATAAGTTTGTTCGTGTTTCAAGATGGGACTCGTTGATCGTGGGTAGTCTTGGGTGATTGTGTCAAGACTTCTGATCGATGCAATGATGTATCGATTTAATTAAGTTTGGAGCGAGACTACGTGCAGTATGAAACTTGACTTTTTCGTGTGAAGTGCCAAGTGACTAGGATCGGTATGTGAGATCAACATCGAGATGACCATTGGTCTGGTTCAATGGGTTTCCTTTGAGCGATGTTGAGTCCATACTTAAAATCCTTTGAGGGTAGTGACTACGGCAGCAAACCAAATAGATTTGACATTCCAGAGTTGGAATGTAGTCGAGTTATCTTCTCCTTTGCTGCTCGTTTCTTGTGCTCTAAGAAATCTTTACATACTGCATTTATATATTTTCATCTTGTTAGTTAAGTTTTATTTTAAGTTATGATTTATTGTTTGTTGTCGCAAAAGCGTTTTATTTAAGTTCGGTTGTTTTAAAGAGTTAAAGAGTGTAATAGAGTATCGGAGTCGTAGTGCATGGTGTGGGCATGTACTTCGAGCGACGTCGTTCTGGTGGGTGAGGCCAGTAGTGGGCTATATTTTAATGGTCCCTTGTGCAGAGTCTCTTTGTATGTTCAACTTTTTGTAACATTTTCATTTCGTGTTCTTCTCTTTTTTGTTTTGGTTGTCTTTTTCTCAAAAGTAGAATCATTTGTTTTGGGTTTGTCTTTTGACTTTTTTGTGGTTTTCAAAAGAATAATTTATCCAGTTTTAATCTGGGTTCAATCCGGTTTGGGTACCGTGGGACTTTCTTGCTTAGTCATGCTCTTAGTTTGTGATTTTGTTGCGTTAGTAGGCTGCGTTGGTCAGTTTAGCTTACTTTTATAATTCCTTCCGACCGGGTTAAGGGAAAGTTTGAAACGTGTGAAAACAAGTTAGTTGTTATCAGTGAAAGTTAAAACTTGAAATTCATTATTTAAACATTTATTCGTGGGCGAGCTGTGCGATTGTGGAAAGAGTGTGTTATTTATGGGCGAGTGAAGAATTCAATTTTACAAAACGAGCGTCTAGTAAAAAGGTTAGTTTTCTTCAATTTATTTGCAATTTTTTTATGAATTTACATTAGAAATATTGATTTACTGCCATGGAATTTTAATTTTATAAACACTGCTTTTAAAAGAAAAAATTTACTACTTCAATTACATACTGCGATTGTTAAATTGAATTTGAAAAGTTTATAGAAAAGAGTTTACAATTTTTATTTGTTTTTCTTTGTTTAAGATGAATGTACGGTGAAATCTAAAAAAGAAAAGTGAGACATATATAAAGAATGGTTAGTATGTCTTTGAATTCATTAGTTAAATTATTTAATCATACTTACAAAGGGTTGTCGTCGGCAAACAATCTTGGAAAATTGGTGCGAATAGTGTCAGATGATGTGAGGAGTTTGACAAGCATGCGGATGACATTTTTAGTCTGAAGGAGAGGCCATAGAAGGTCGAGTGCTCGGATGATGTTGTGCTCGTCTTTATTGAGTGAGAATTCATGCGATGTATTTTGGATTATGTTATATAGCTTGTGATTGTACTTAGTACTGTGAATTTGTTCTAGAATGTGGACTTCGATGGGCCGTATATATTCGTGGGGGATGATTAGTGGGCGGGATTCTTCAACATCAAAGGATTTGATTAGTGGGCAGAATATATACTTTTGTCATATTGGATCATAGTTACGGAGGATGACGTGTATTTTTTATACAATAAATGAAGTTTAGAAAGTATGGTGATGTGTATTTGGAGTTAATGATTGTGAATCTGTGATATGGGTTTCGTGATGGTGTGTTAGTTATGTAGTGGTGTTGAATAAATTTATAATAGTCGTTTGTGTGGGTTAGTTCAATGCGTAATATTATTTCGTGTGAGCAGAGCAAGTCACGTTCTTTTGATGTGTAATCGTAGAGGTATATTGTTGGTTAAGAGTTCACTATATCTCTCATCTAAATTTGTAGGGAAATTTAGTGGAAATGTTGTAGTTGGAGTTAGACTTATTGTTGAAGGTGTTGAAGGTAGTGATAGAGTTTCTGTTAGTGAAAAAGATGTATTGGATGAGATATCTATAGGGTCACTCACTAACTTGGCTCACCTTGAGTGAAAGCTTGTGTCATCCAATATGGGAGACAATGTGTTGAAGTTGGGGGGTTAAACGGATTTTCACGAATTTTCTCAGATGTGGGGGTTGATCCTAAGTAACCCGATGGTATGTTTGGAGCACTTTGTTGTGAAATTGTTTGTAACGGTGGTGGGATACATTGAATTGTGTTACTGGAAAGGTCTAGACGATTTGGGGATGGTGATGAGGGTATATTAAAATAGTAAGGGGATACTTACAAAGGGTTGTCGTCGGCAAACAATCTTGGAAAATTAGTGCGAATAGTGACAGATGATGTGAGGAGTTTGGCAAGCATGCGGGTGACATTTTTAGTCTGAAGGAGAGGCCATAGAAGCTCGAGTGCTCGGATGATGTTGTGCTCGTCTTTATTGAGTGAGAATTCATGCGATGTATTTTGGATTAGGTTATATAGCTTGTGATTGTACTTAGTATTGTGAATGTATTCTAGAATGTGGACTTCGATGGGCCGTATATATTCGTGGGGGATGATTAGTGGGCGGGATTCTTCAACATCAAAGGGTTTGATTAGTGGGCAGAATATATACTTTTGTCATATTGGATCATAGTTACGGAGGATGCCGTGTATTTTTTATACAATAAATGAAGTTTAGAAAGTATGGTGATGTGTATTTGGAGTTAATGATTGTGAATCTGTGATATGGGTTTCGTGATGGTGTGTTAGTTATGTAGTGGTGTTGAATAAATTTATAATAGTCGTTTGTGTGGGTTAGTTCAATGCGTAATATTATTTCGTGTGAGCAGAGCAAGTCACGTTCTTTTGGTGTGAAAAAATGATAACTTCGTGAAAAGTGATGAAAATTGGTGAAATAAGAATCATAAGCTATGGTGTCTCGGAGTGCGGTGGAAGGAAAATTATCATATTTTTACTCATGCTGTTAATTACAATTACATATTCTGATTTTATAAAAAAAAATTTCTCAGTTAATTGGGGGTTAGTATTTTCATCTTCTTCTCTGACTGTGTCTTCCATATATCGTGCAATAGCGTGATTGTAGTGTTTAATTGAAAATCTGTTAGGTTTTTCTGCAACAAATCTATTTAATGTTTGTGTTAGTCCTATGGTTGTGAATTGTTTTTCATGCAGTGCTGTAGTTAGTTGGGGTAGTCGGGATTGACTGATTTCATTGTCGGCTGGGTTATTGTACAAAGGGAGTGATAGTAGGTTTGTGAAGTGATAGTGAGATATTCATGATAAGGTGGGAAACAGGCTATATTCGTCTACAAAATTAAGTTGCTGGTCATTAGTGTGATAGTAGGTATATTGTGAAAAAAGCGTAAATTATATTTGAAGAATTTTTTTAACATTAGTGTGCTGCGGGTGAAGGGAAAACAGTCGGGGTGGTGAAGTGTTTGGGTAGTGGGGTGCTTTCGCTTGAATACTCGGTGGGCTCGGGTTTCTTCTACTGTGGAGGCTGGATTGGAGGATTCGGAGGAATAAATAGATTGTGATAAGTGATGAATAATTAATGCCTTAGTGTTTTGAAGCAGCTGTTGTAAAGTGATGAAATTGTCAAGTTCGTGCTCTAATTCTTCATTGACGGGGCTAGAGGGTTCGGGTTGATCATTTTTCATTGGGGAGAAAATTGGGGTTGCTTCTGTGCAGGAAGAAGGAGCTGGGGAAGTTTTATTGGGAGTTAGGGTGTGGAGCGGACGGAAGGGGGTAGCGAAAAAGTAGACGGGCTGGGCTCGGAGTTCTGAAGTTCATCTGGGGTGTCAATATCGGAATTATTGAATTGTGAGATGGTGCTAAAAACTGTGTTTGTGAAATCATCAGAACCCATGCGTAGTGAATTAGAAGTGAATGAGGGTAAGGGAGA